ATATGCGTCATAGACCGCTTTTCACGTTCCGCCAGCATGGGCTGATCAGATGACCTTGAGATTTCAATTCCCACCAGTAAAATCCATGGCTGTGATTGGCTGCAGTGTATTTTAGTATGCTATTTTCTTAACTGTCTCAAGGACGTTGTTATGTTGTATAAATAAACGAGAGTTGTATGCTTGATTGTACTGTGATTGCTGGGTGCTTGTAGAATATACTTCTACGCCTACAAAGTCTTCTATTTCGATTCTGGGATTCAGGGTAGCCTTCTTGGAAGCTGGTAAAAGTCTCGTTCGCGTTTATCGACTAAGGTAAACTCGTAATAGCCTCAAGCATCCTAAGTGCCGAACTTATCAGTTGTATCATCACAGTAGACAAGCCCGACCACCACATCAAGGTGGTACCTCTCTGTTGTAGCAACTTCTGGGCGATGGTCTACTGCTTACTACTTATATACTACCTTGTGAGTAGCATCCACCACACTATATCTAATCCCAACCATCGAATGAAGCAAACAACTGCATCAAAGCAATAAAAAGCAACTAATTCATTACTGTATTCAGTTTCATTTTTGTCGTACACGTTAAAAGGATATTTTTGTTTTACTTATCATCACAGCTCCAGACGTCTTGACTTCTGTTGTATCTCAACAAACTGAACGTGAACTGAATTTGAATAGACCAATTCTTATGGTAAGTACTTTCAACGCAACATTATTCTCGTTGTATTTGTTTCAGTCATTAACATGCCATTTCAATATCGAATTAATTGACTTTAGACAGGGTTAATTCTACTATTTCATTTGGTATATTTTATTCACTTGGCACTATGAACCTAATCACTTAATTATAACATACGCTTTAATACCGAGTAGGACTCCGGCTGGACAGAACTGGAAAGGAGAGCTCAGAACAGAGTTGGTTGGAGAAAACTGGTGGGCGGCCTATGCTCGATTGGGGGTAACAGGCGTAAGTAAGTAAGTAAGTAATGGACTTCGGCTGGAACCGTTTTAGGGTGACTACCGTTCGTAAGCCCGGATTAAAGGAGGAGGACTAGGCATGGGGTTAGCTACCCCAGCCCGTAGATATCCAGCTAGCTTAAACAAATACGATGACCAGAAAAAGAATTAGCTAATTGAGGGCCTATGCTCCATTAAGAGTAACAGGCATAAGTAATACGGAGTAGATGTAAGTAAAGTGTAGATTATAGCAAATACCAAGGGATAAGATGTATATATATTAGTAGTCACATATGTTTGACTGTCTTTCCATCTGTCTAGAATGTAAACGCATTACCGTGGAGTATTTGCCTACATAATACACAGTATTTAAGTTACATGTTTCTTTCCACAAAATTTACTAGCTTTTATATTAGGTGGATGTAAACCGTTTAAACACTGATAATACCATACGGGTTTGAGTTTAGGACTTGCTGATGTCGATGTGTCAGGTTGAACCTTATAGGCCAGGTTGTATTCGTAGGTACAGACTGCCGGGTTGGGATCCGCACAATTATCTTGACCAGTGGCTGGAGATGTTGGCTGACATAGATTAAGATCTGTCTCAATGATGTGGAATTCTTGAATAATATTTCCGATGCCTGATGTTTACTTACTATTACTGACATTGTTATTACTCTACTATGGTGTTTATCTTGATAATTTTATCTTGCTGTACTGACGTAATGTGATAACTTGAAGAGATTCATATATGTCCCAAGGGTTACGTTGTTTATGACTGGCTAACTTATTGAACTTATAGACTGCTAATGGTAATTGTTATAACAGAAGTATTGGAATATTTTCCTCAGATGATGTATTATGACTGTACTATGATACAATAAAATAAGACTGGCCTACGTGGCTGAATCTATACTACTGCCGGATTAGATGCTCGGACGGTCAGTCAGTTAGTCAGAAGCAACGTAGAACTTCGTACGTAAGTACATCAGTCCATGTTGCCATACCACATCAGCACAGAGATGTAATTGTCAATTTAAATCCAATAGTAGAAGAGGTAGTAAAGGTATTAGAAGTAATCAAAGAGGTTAGGATTAGAAGATATTATTCAAGAATTATGATTCAGTGAGATAAGTTTAGAAAGACAGAACTAGAGGTGTTGAAGAATCCAGAATATTAGGATTTGAGAGAACATAGAGAATAAAGGTGCCGGCGCCATTGAAAACGGTTTTGAGCCATGTCATTCAGGGTCTCTAACCATCGATTATTATCATCTCGCGGACCCCAACCAGCAACATGACTCAGTCCACTTGTCAATGACTTCATGGATTTCTGTCATGTTTTGGTCTGGCCGCCCCTAACCTTCTTCCAACCTACTCCTACACTACAAAACAAAGCTCGGACGGTACACTACACAGAGACTGAATCACCAGTTTACGCCCAAACCAGGTTAATTCCAGACTATGCCGTATTCTACGCAAATACAGGCAATCACTCTCAGTAAGTTTGCTGTAGAAATCAGTACAAGGATAGGAGGCTACATATTTAGTAGTCAGTAGGCTAAGTGAATGTGTTGTCTACACTCAATGGTCAGTCACATTTATTGTCACTACCGCACATCAGTAACGCTTTTGCTTTATAAACCCAAGTGTCTATTTAGCTTGATATCTGATGTAGTTGTCAATAGGTATCTGTTAGGAATTCTAAATTCTGATCAAAACACCTGTCTAATGCTCCTTAATTTTCAACAATGCTCCAGTAGATATCATTCAATGTGCCAGAAAACCTTACTTACTTACTTACTTACGCCTGTTACCCCCAATGTAGCATAGGCCGCCCACCAGTTTTCTCCAATCAACTCTGTCCTGGGCTTCCCTTTCAAGTTCTGTCCAATGTTTGTTCATTCCTCTCATATCTTTCTCTATTTCTCGGCGTAATGTATTCTTTGGCCTTCCTCTTTTCCTTTTGCCTTGAGGGTTCCATGTGAGGGCTTGTCTCGTGACGCAGTTAGGTGCTTTCCGCAATGTGTGTCCTATCCACTTCCACCACTTCTTCCTGATTTCCTCATCCACTGGAACCTGGTTCGTTCTCTCCCACAGTTCGTTGTTGCTGATGGTGTCTGGCCAACGAATACGAAGTATTTTGCGTAGAAAACTGTTAATAAACACTTGTATCTTCTTGATGATGGCTTTGGTAGTTCTCCAAGTTTCCGCTCCATACAGTAGAACTGTCTCAACATTTGTATTGAAAATCGTGATTTTGGTTTTGGTTGAAAGTTGTTTGGAGTTCCAGATATTTCTCAACTGTAGAAATGCAGCCCTTGCTTTGCCAATCCGCGCCCTCACATCTGCATCGTATCCACCTTGATGTTCGATGATGGTGCCCAGATATATAGTTTAAGATTAGCATAGACTATTGAATTTAACAGTTGGTCGGCTATTATCTGAATTTGTTTAAAATATACTAAGAGCAATAGTGTATGATATAATTTCATCATACTTTTATCTGGTACAAAAGAGCACCTAAATATTTATGCCCTGCACAAATTATTGAATTTGTAAGTGGGTGCTGCTGCCCAGATATGTAAAGGTGTTAATGTCCTCCAAGGCATCTCCATCAAGAGTGATTTGGTTGGTGCATGTTGTGCTGCATCGTAGAATTTCGCTTTTTCCTTTATGTATGTTGAGACCTACTGCTGCAGAGGCTGCTGCTACACTGGTCGTCTTTTCTTGCATTTGTTGTTGCGTGTGCTGCCAGAAAACCACTTTCAACTTATCTCTTGATTATTCACGTCTACGTAGGTTGAAACGTTTCAATCTACTACTACTGTCACTTAAAAGTGTTAGTGTTTATTTTAATAACTTATATTTTGTTTTGTTTTTCTAAAAAAAATTAAATCAACTCAGATTGTTTATATCGTGGATCAATGTTTAAATGAAGTAAGAAAAATGTGTATAGCTTTACCGGAATTTTCAAATGGTTGTTTACAAATTGGTTTAACAATTTTAGAAGATTTTATTACTGCTATTTGGCGATTGTATAAAAGTAAGTCGTAATTGTAAATGATAATATTAGTTTCGAAGTGATGGCAAGCGATATTTGTCTAGTTGTAAATTACTGATCGAATTCTGTAATATGATCACTAGTGGAGAAGTAATTCGATGTCGCGTGCCCCCAGGCTGATTGTAATCATCGGCTGGATACTTGTTACTCATTCAATGATCAACCAAGTATCAATACCTTAGTCCTATCGGTGGTCAGCCACGGCGCTATAAGCTCTTTTGTCATTGTGGTGAAGTTTCGTTTTCTGAGTTGGAAATTTCGGTTGTGGAGCTTTCATGGTTCTTCTAAACAACATCATCGGCACAAATTTTAGATATAACTGAAGTATTTTGAAAAACAATGGAGTCTCCAGAACGAAAACATCTTCCTCAGGAAACGAAACTACCTGAATCATCAACCTGAGCTAAAAGTTTTCTCCATCATCTCAAAACTGTATTGTAATTTTTTGAAACTATAAAAACCAAATGATGACAAGCCGTACCCACTAAGGTGCATCAATCCCCTCAAAATTGTAGGCATCGCTTTTTAACAAGTATGCTTATATCATTGGTTTTTCTTCCGACTTCCGCCAATCAACTAATGTTATTTTGCGCAGTGCTAATATACATGATCTTCAAGTATGTGTATATTATGATACGCGGTGACGAGATTTTGAAAACGACAGGTCCTAACCTCCAAAATGGCCGCTTCAACGGGAAGTCAAAGAGCGGATAAAGGCCGATTCGAATATCAAACTTCGAACAACTACTCGTCTATATATATATATATATATATATATATATATATATATATATATATATATATAATTGCATTCAAGTTTGTATAACCAATGATATGCATTCGTCCTTTAGGACATTTCTGTTGATTATCCAATGATCTCATTTGAGCACTTCTGATTGGTTGACTATTTTAACTCGTGATTAACCTATTCGTCTCAAACTGATAGTCATGATGTTGAATTCAAAAGTAGACTAACAAAGTAAAACACAGACAAGATGAAATAAATCTGGGTCAACATAATCAAACAGTTAAATGTTACATGAACCAGTAAAAAGTGAACAAAATTCAAACAAGTAAATTGTATCAATTGAAAATTCGTTGTTACTTATCAATAAAAGATAATTGACTCATGTGAATTTCACGCATAATTCCAATAACGACGAAAATTGTTTTTTAGTTAGTCGAGCTTGTCAAGCCTGACTAAGAAAGGATTGGTTAAAATAGGTTGACCTTGAAAATGTCATATCTAACCTTACCCAATGGATTTCCGTCTCCGGCGATAAGATGTTTTTAAAGAACAAAGCTAACAATTTACAAACTTCTCATAACAAAGCCGCGTGTGACCAGCCTCAAGCAGTTGTCCTTTAGGCTCTGCAGTCTCTCTTCCAGGTCGTTGAGACCATCATTAACAGACTGAACCATATTACTGTAGATTCCTTAAGGCTGATACTAATGGGACTCACAAACTGCACTACTATGCCTTATCTGAGCTTAGTTTGTATTATTTATAGAAACTTTCATGTTTCTCATCTAATCTTTGTAAATTTAAACAATAGATAGTGTGACGGATACATATCTATTATTTTGGAGTTTATATTGTATCTACCAATTTTTTTTCTGTCTATTGGCACTTTATACATTCTCCGTTTTCTATCTTTGAATATCATATTATTCTAGAGGTAAAGTTGATAAGGTTAGGGTTTATGACCAACTGTTTGTTTGTCGTACTGCTCTATATTGTAGTCTATTTAATGAATGAATAAGTCTCTCTCTCTCTCTCTGTGTGTGTTATTTGAGTGATAACTAAGTAGAGAATGTTATAATCTATTATATTAATTTACATGTCTATCAAACATGTGAATGGCAAAATTATACTTTATCTATCACTCTATCTATCTACATAAACCACCCATGTATACCTACCTACCTATTGTGTGTACCATAAGTTGTATTGTTATTCACTACTGAACACTTGAATATTAGTAGTATATTATCTATGTGCATGTACATGCAGTCAGTCAGTAGTATTGGACGCAGTCGAGTTGTAGAGTTGTTGTTGTAGTAGTTATTACTGATTTTTACACACACACACACACTCTCTCTCGCTCTTTTATAAAACTAAATAAGTCGCCTTTATTTATCTTTCGAGATTGTTTTTTTGTTTTCATCAGTGGACAAAGAGAAAATTTAAAATTGTATGCGTGTGTAAATTTTTATTGAAATTCAATTTATTAAAAAAAAAATATATGAATGTCCCCACTACATAAAAGAGTGAAAAAAAATGTTGTAAATAACTAACTCATTTATAAAAAATTAATCAACTTGTTTTTAATTTGAATTCAGTGTTGACCAATAGTCAATTTCTAAGACATTTACTAGTATTCGATCATAGTAGATATCTTAGAAGCATTGCTTGTATATTGTGGGACAGCCGAGTAAGCAATGCTGTCGTTAGGAAACGAGTACTAGGTAAGGATGGCAGATCAATCGATGAAGTGGTGAAACTTCTTCATCAGTTGATGTAGTTGGGACATGTGTTACGAATGCCCAACCACCGACTGCCTCGACGAGCTATGTTTTGTAGTGTAGGAGTAGGTTAGAAGAAAGTTAGGGGCGGCCAGACAAAAACATGGCAGAAATGCATGAAGTCATTGACAGGTGGACTGATTCATGTTGGTAGAGGTAGACTACCTGGTTGGGGTCCGCGGCATGTTAGTAATTGAGGGTTAGAGACCTTGAAAGACATGGCTCAAAATCATTTGCAATGGCGCAAGTCCATCCATTCGTTGTGCTCTCTCAAATCCCAATCTCCTGGATTCGTCAGCACCCCTACCTTTGTCTTTCTAACCTTATCTCACTGAATTATACTTCTTGAATAATAGCTTCAAACCCTGTAGTCTTCTTCATTACCATTAATACCTCGACTATCTTTATCACTATGTGATTTGATTTGACAGTTGCATCTCTGTTTGCTTATGTGGTATGGCAACATTTAACTTATGTACATATGTACGAAGTTCTGTGTTGCAACTGACTGACTGACTGATTCGTAGTTATGATGAAGTTTTGGTCTCTTCTCTGAGCTTGATGTTTTGGTTATGGAGATTTCATTGTTCTTTTGAACATGAACATCATCAACACAAATTTGCTAACTAGTCAATCACATCTTCTTTTCATTAGTATTTTTCATTTGTTCATTTGACCCGAAAGTTTAATCTTCCAAGCAGTGGAGCAACGTAAGTATATACAGTCTCATGATAAAGCCGGTGACCAACTATACGTTTATGTGCTATTCGTCTGGTTAGGATCCTGTAGCGTGTGTGCACTATTGTCTCCGCATCAGGGTTTTCCGACTCTCCTACATAAATCCTTCATACTCGCCAACCCGATTAAAGCTGTTGTCAGACATTCACTTATCGTTCTCTCTATTTTGTAAATAACACTTGTGCCATTAGAAGGCGGTAAGTATGACTTGTATGGCAGTAGCCAAATACATTTGGTTAGATGATAGAATACTGAGAATGAGCTGACTCTCTTCACTCATGGCCGTAACAGAGCATTTGGAGGCCTAGTAAGTTAATTAAAGTTAACCGAAATTTCTAAATCCGTTCCCAACATATAACAGAATACAAGAGAATTTGATTGTACCCCCTTCTTAAACCAATATTCCTTCCTAATGCCTGTCTACTGTGATTTATGTAGTTTTATTAAGACTCGGAAAGATTTCTCATCTAAGATGACAAGTGAACAAAGATAGTATGTATAACATTTTCAGTGTTAGCATTTTTGTTCATTGAATGTAGATAGTTATTCGACCATAGGTGTTTTCGAAATATTGCTCGTATATCCTAGGACAGTGGAGTAAGCAATGCTGGTGTTAGAAAACGGATAAAGATGGCGAATCGATTTACAACGTTGTGAATCTTGATTATTTCAGGTTTTGGGGATATGGGTTATGTATGCCCAACCAGCGACTGACTTAACGAGCAATGTTGTCTGATGTAGGAGTAGGTTGGAAGGAGGCTAAGGGCGGCCAAACCAAAACATAGCACCTATCCACGAAGTCATTGACTACTGAAATGAGTCATGTTGGCAAGTTTAAACTACCTGCTTAGGGTTTGCGCGACAATAGTAACCGATTGTTAAAGACTTTGAATGACATGACTCAAAACCGTTTGCATTGGCGAAGATGCACCCATTGTTTGTCTTCTGTCAAATTCTAATCTTCTGAATTATTCATGGCCATCTTTTCTTTCTAAATTTATTCCACTTTTCGAATGTTATCTTCGATTACTAATCTTTTTCACTGTCGTTCATGATTCTACTGTGGTGTGTGCTACTTATACGAACGATATAAGTAGTATAAGAAGGGACGTGAAAGAAGTCTCACGGTCAGAAGAGGAAAACGGAAAGCAAATGAAGCAAAAGCAATAAGTAAATGGAGTACCAACAGGAAGTAAAGGAAGCAACAACCGGAATGGAAGAAGGAAGGAGTGTTGGAAGTCACGACTCAAAGATGATGTGCAAATGGAGTGTTCAATGTAATGTTTTCGTTTTTAATTGACTCAGAGTGTAAATTTGCTGAATACAATCTTCCTCGCCTGCCTCAGTCTTCTCAATTGGTGTCGCTGCCTCTACACAGGATGAAGATCCCATGGCCTCGTAGGTTTGAAGATGGAGATGTGAGGAGCTTCTTGCAGGAGTTCGAGGCCGTGGCAGGGCTGGTATGAGTCGAGAAGCAGAGGTCGAAGGCGGTGGTTTTGGGGACACTACTAAGAGGCACGTCCCTCCTTATACTACTTATATCGTTCGTATAAGTAGCAGACACCACACTACTACCTCTACCACTATGGGTATTGAATTGACAACTCTATCCGCGGGTGTGCTAATGTGGTATGGCAACTTGAACTGATGTACTTGCGTACGAAATTCTATATGATTGTAGATAGTATTGACATAAACTTTAATTACCTTACAGTTCTTTAGTCTAACCTACTTATCATTTTAATGCTTACGCATTTGTTCAGTAGTAATTAACTAATTTTAGAAATTCATTTTGTTGAATAAATTTTATTCTTACTCATTTGGTTACATCGATCAATCATTGTTAGACCACTATTAGAAACATGGAAGCACTGGACGATGGCCGTCCCATCCTGGTATGGGACTCATCAGTGTCAGTGCGCATCCATGACTCCTACATCTCACAGGATTCAAACCCATAACCTTCAGTCTTGTGAGCGAACGCCTAACCTCTGGACCACTGAGCTGGCGGCATTCAACAGTATTAACGTCTAACTCTGATTGATCTAGGGATTTTGTGCGACCTCACCTGTCTTTCGTAGTTACTGCCTACATCGTCCGACTGGTCATGTCTTGATGATTTCAAATATATAAAAACAATAATCTCTGATTTTTTCATTTGACAATAATTTCAAGTGTTGTATCATTTAAATAAAATAAGTTATTTTCGGTTTTGGTTTTTACTTTCTCCTTTGAAAACTAGATATAGGTGAATTGGAAACAGGTTTAGCTTTACCCAGTTCAGAATGGTCAAAAGATGATGATGTCAGTCGATTTTGGAAGTAAGTTGTGTCTGTTGTTTTTTTCTTTCTGTTGAGCAAAATAATAATCATTACCCTGTTACACTGTTATGTAATTCATTGAGAATTTATTTTGTTGTTCTAAAGTACTGTTCTATTGTTAATACACTTGATAAAACTGATAACTGTTGAAAATTTCCACCACGATACACAACATGCAACATTGATGTAGATGAAAGTTTTTCTTGACCGCTCTAAAAGTACACTTCTTTATATATTGATTTTTATTCACAATAATATCGCATGTGATGTTAGGATATTCGTCTAATATCCTAAGAGAATTATTTGTAAGTCTAGTTCTATTGGTCAATTCCTATTTGTTAATTCCTACTGGTCAATATTATGCTCGTCCTAACTGTCAATATCACAGACTTCAATGTTGGTTCCTATTCGACGTAACTGTATAAATACGCATTATCTGTAACGTTATATGACCCGGATCCCTAGTTCGGGATCCTTATCCTCTTCTGGACTCGAACCTCGCACTTTCTGGATGCTTGTAGAATTCAGGTTCTACTTCATATCATGTCTTCTTCTTTACTCGATGCGGGGGGGGGGTGTTGGGACAATCGGATTAGAGTAGTATGTCGTGTCACCGGATCCTCGAACTTCACTGTCGTTAGCTGACTTAGGTGAACTCGTAATAGTTCAAGCATATCAAATTGACATGTTTATGTGCATTCGTAACATGTAAGAAAAATACATACTGAATGTATGAATGGAATATAATGTTTCACTGAAAAGAAAACAATATCATGGTGTTATTGATCGATATGTTACATTTGATCTCACCTGTTTACTTGGTCATCATGAAAAAAACAAACTTGGAAGTCATTGGTTAACTGTTTTTCTTTGAAAGTTTGAAATTGTTCTCACTAGTTGAAACTAATGATCTTGTTAGCGATTATTATTATCATACTTTTACTCGATAATCTATCTTATTTATGTTAGGATCTAAGAGTAAAGGTCTAGAATCACTCGGAAAATATTCCCTTCTTTTATAAATGTACTTTGCAAATTAACAAAGTACTCGAGATAAAACTATTTAGGCTGGTCTCGATCGGTATTAACTCTATCTGAATAAAACAATATCGTATTTTAGTGATTAGGGCACATAACGTTCTATTGTTGAGTCTAAAGTTCAAATCCCACATTGCATACTTCAATCTGAATAGCCCGGGATTGTGTCACTGTGGTGTGTTGTACAACATGCAGTGAGGCTTATAAGTAGTATGCAGTGGATGTACAGCAGAATGCTGTCCAATAGTTACATCATGAGAGAAAAGTTTCGGATATGAATTTATAACGCGATGTGGCTGTTTTGAGAGATAGAAAACATGGTGGATGAAGAATGGATTGATGTTCTATGATGTGTACACTTTTAGTGGCTGCGTTAGATTCAAAGTAGGGCTCATCACTTTAGCGGCTGGGTATCTGATCCTGGTTCGGTCGAATGATCAAATGTGCTGTGAAAATAAATCTTCCTCTATCTTTCTTAACCTCGATTGACCTTAAATCTCTTGTTGTTTTCGCCTTTATTTTGATTACATCCCCCCTTTGGTCTGTTTCTTGATCTTATGTGTTGTAAACGATATTTCTATAGATTTGATAGTTATCTTAATTTATTTTTACTAAATAGTGATCATGTTTGACATTACACTGGTTTCCAAGAAAATGAATAATCGAATGCTATACTACCACATAGAGACCAAATCATGTTAAATCAGATACAATTTTGAGATTAGTGTTTTTACAAATTTGAAATCATCAATCAATCATTATTAAACCACCATTGGGAACCTGGAAGCACTGGATGGCCGTTTTGTCCCGGCATAAGACTCATCAGCAGTGCACATCCACTGTAGGATTTAATTTGTCCTACAGATGTAATTCTAGAACAGTAAACGCAATATTGGCGAGCAAAGAGTCTATGAGAAAGCTATAGTCAGAACAAGATCAACTTTTGCTTTAAACTTTATCTGTTTTTAAACAGAAAAACAATTAGATTAGTACAATGAATAAAGAAATTACAATTATCATCATGTAAGACGAGCAAACGTACTGACCAATATAGCGTGTGTTATGGAAATGAGTAAAGTTATGAGTCACATCAATATAATAAGATAATAATGTCAATCAATTTGTAGGTCATTTCCAACAAAGAAAGTTTACAGATACGTCAGATCAGATCACGTGGTATGCGCTTAAACCAGAATTTGATTGGTTAGTTATGACATAACTACAATTAGTTATGGAAATAACTGACATCCACGACTCCTGCACCTCTCAGGGTTCAAACCCTAGACCTTAACACCGTTGGATTCCGGCCCGATTGCCCAGAGGTCCCGGGTTCGAATCCTGCGGGTTGCAGGGGTCGTAGATGCGCACTGACGGTGAGTCCCATACCAGGACGAAACGGCCATCGTCCAGTGCTCACAGGTTTCTAATAGTGGTCTAACAATGATTAATTGATGATTTCAAATATAGGTAGATATACAATTCGCAGCCGAATACAAAAGAACCAGATTAACATAACAGCACAGTCAGTTGTTCTCAGTTAATCCAGAGTACAGAAATCACTGTGACGAAATAATAAAAAACTACTTATTTCAATAGTCAGTAGTCTAAACTGCCCGTTTGTTGTCTACATTCAATGATCAATCACATTGTTTTTTGTTTTTTGTTTTTTTGTTTTACTTACTCACCTCCATAGAAAATTCCCATCATGGCAACGTATGGCTACGCATGAAGCACGTTTATTAGCTAATAATACAATTATGGAGAAATCATTGGCTAAAAACAAACCATATAATCATCATGAGAATAACAATAATAATAATAATAGTGCCAGACTAACCACTAGCAATTATTCATCTAATAACGCGCAAAATAAACGATTCGACCAGAAAGCCCAACTAACCACTACTCGTGAAAAAATCAATGAAAATGATGTCAACATTACACCAGTGTGTGCAATTGCTTTAGGCTTATATAATAGCAATAATAATCATCATCATAATAATCATAATGATACAATTGGTTGTAATAGTATGAATATGAATATGAATATGATGATACCAAATATGATACCATTTGCTAATGGTTTAAATAATAATTCTGATAATAGTACTACAGATCATGCAGAACATGGCTTGGAATATATGGTAGGTTGTTGTTGTTATTGTGCTCTCGTCTTTTTTTGTTTATCTCTGCTGTGCTATGATATGCTAAAGATACACGGGGTTATTGAAGATTGTTAAGTTACACATATTGAAACCATAAATGTGTAACTGTTACGCCTGCACGTCAACACGTCAACTTGTTATACTTGAAATATTACGAGTTCACTTTAGTTGGAAACGGGAGAGCGAGGAACCGGCGACACGACATGCTACTCAAATCCGATTATCCCAATCCCTATATTGATATGAAGTAGAACCTGTATTCTACAAGCATCCAGAATGTACGAGGTCCGAGTCCAAAAGAGAATCATGATCCCGGACTACTACGGATCCAGGACCGAGCCCTGGTCCTGGTCGTGGTCATAAAATTTTACAAATAATGCGTATATATACATTTTGGTCGAATAGAAAACAGCATCGAAGTCTGTGACATTGACAGTTAAGACGACCAATAGGAAGCAATATTTGAATTGACATTGATAGTCAGGACAACCAATAAGAAACAATATTGGAGCACGTGACATTGATATCTACGACGACGATAAAATTGACCAGTAGGAATTAATCAATAGTAATTGACCAATAATTCTCTTAGGATATTGGATAAATAACCTAACAATGATCCTAACAGTTACTAACAATCTTCATAACCCTGTTATGCAATTACCTGTGCTCATTAGTGACTAGCTTGGTGTGGAATCCTCTCCAAGTTCTAGCGGGAATTTGTGACCAGTGAAGTTCAACTTGTTCGAGTGTAGACAGTAACTACCGAAGACTGTGGTATGAGGTTGCACAACTCTGTGAATTGATTGAAGTTAGACATTAACACCGTTAGATACACTGGCTTAGTGGTCCATAGGTTAGGCGTTCGCTCATAATGCGGAACGTTCTGGGTTCGAACCCTGCGGGGTGCAAGAGTCGTGGATGCTCACTGACATTGATAAGTCCCATACTAGGACTAAACGGCCGTCTTTCAGTGCTTCTAGGTTTCTAATGGTGGTTTAACAATGATCGATTCATGGTTTCAAAATATGCTAAAGATGCTACGAATGCATGTCACCACGTCAATTGATCTGCTTGAACTATTACGAGTTCACCTTGGTCGGTAAACGAGAGCGAGGATCGGGCGACACGACATGTTACTCGAATCCGATTATCCCAACCCGCATTGAACAAAAGAAGAAGACTTGATATGAAGTAGAACATGTATTCTACAAGCATCGGGAAAGTACGAGGTTTGAGTCCAGAAGTGAATCAGGACCCCGGACTAGGAGGGATCCGGGTCCCAATACGTTACAATAAGTAAATAAAAAAAATGAGCGCTATCTCTCACACACTTATGCGATCAAATTAAGAATGATTTTCACGCCTTTCAGCATGGAGGTTATTGTAAAGTTACTCGATAGGAATACGGTGTTTTGTGTTGCTTTTATAGGGACTTGTTAGATTTCGTAGTCTTATCTAACGAGTATGAAATTTTAATGATTGATCGTGATTATTGGAGCCAAACTAAGTCGAGCAAGAGTTGAATACCACCATTGTCAGTGACTGACGTTAAAAATTCAAACTATTAAACTTCAACGCAGTGATATGAGAATATTAAACGCTCTCGGTGAGATAATTAAGTTATCGAGTTAGTGCTTTTTAAGATCGTAGATGTTCACTGTTGAGGAATGCCATATTAAAGGAAAAGTAGCTGTCCAGTATCTTCCAGTTTACAACTGATTGGTTAAATTAAACCAGTTTCTTGGAGTATAACTGCTTTTTATTTGGTTCCCTTTACTGTTGTTGACTGTATTCCACACACGTATATTTCAAACTAAGAATTAGTAATTATTTTCAGTGTGATATTTCGAGATGAGAGAAAAGTAGTGAGGAAGATAATTAGTCAGTCTGTCAATCAGCAGCAACGTAGAACTTCGTCTGTACGTACGTAAGTACATCAGTTCAAGTTGCCATACCACTACATTAGCACTGAGTAGTGGAATTGTCAGTTCAAATCCCGTACTGTTCACCTTTGAATCAGTACAATGCAGAAAGTGGATTCGTATTATCATATCAGATTGGAGAAAAACTGCTCAACAGCGCTGCTAAACACAAACTTTTTTTTTCATTTCATTCTTAATTTGGTTGTATTCATTACAACAGAAAGCTATGCAGTCTTTAAGAACAATATTTTCTCATAGCAGTAATATATAAACAAAAACCAATATATAGTTATGATATTTAACTTCATTTTAAAGTAAATTGTAAATTACATTTGATAGCTTTTTTATTTGAAAAGCTCCTTCAGTTATTAATTTGATATGACTATCACTACTACTGTTATTATTATCAGTAGTAGTGTGTTGAAGTTTTGTGATATTGCTTTACTAATTAGATTGCTTGAGCGATGAGTGGCACATTATATTAGCCGCCACCCCTCCCTAGATTAGAAATATAAACTAAAGTTGAATACATAAACTTGTCAGTTAGTCATTCACTTACAATGTAGAACTTCATACGAAAGTACATCAGTTCGAGTTGTCAGACTACATTAACACAGAGACGCAATTATCAGTTCTAATCCCATAATGGTAGAGATGGTAAATGTATTAATGGTACTTGTACTTGATAGTTTGGTCATATTATTATTATTACTAAACTATCAATACGTTTCTGATATTATTACACTTCTTCAAACCCTAATCTTTTCGATTACTGTTCATACTTGTACTAACTCTACCATTATGGGATTTGAATTGACAATTCCATTTCTCTTTGTGCTAATATGGTACGGCAGCTTGAATTGATGATGTGCGTACGTACAAAGTTCTATGTTGTAACTGACTCCCCCCTCCAAATGCAAAATTTTGCTTGCGTCAGAACCTGAACTAGTGATAGGGAGTGAAGTAGTTGAGCGTAGTAACCTCTTCATTCATCTCGGGATTATCATCAATGCTGGTGTCTGACGAAATCTCAACAGAAGTATTCAAACTTCCTCAGTTAATGTGTTCGGGGTGTATGTTACGAATGCTCAACCACCTACTGCCTCGACGAGCTATGTTTTGTAGTGTAGGAATAGGTTGGAAGAAACCTAAGGGCGGCCAAACCAAAGCATGGCACAAATCCATAAAATCACTGACAATTGGACTGAGTCATGTTGGTAGATGTAGACTACCTGGTTGGGGTCGGTGAGACGAAAGTCACCAATAGTTAGAGACCTTGAACGACATGGCTCATAATCGTTTGCAATGACGCAGGTGCATCCATTGTTTGTCTTCTCTTAATTTATTTATCTTCTGAATTCTTCATCACATCTAACTTTCTCTTCTCAAATTTGTTCAAATAGATTATATTCCTTGAATAACATCTTCAAACACTAATCGTGTACTACCTCTACTGCTATGGGATTTGAAATGACAATTCCATCTTTCTGTATGCTAATGTGGTTGTGGCAACTTGAACTGACCATATACGTACCTACATGTAAAGTTCTACAATGTAGCTAACTGACTGACTGTCTGATTGTTGTACGCAACTTGTTTGTAATGTGTATTCACTTGTTCTTAATTATTATTGTATTTTTTTAATTTTATTTTTGATATTTTGTACAGAATTTACATGGAATAATACATGAACGTGAAGCAACTAGATTAGCTATGGCTGAAACTGATCAATTAATTCATATGATCAAAGATGAATTACCAGTTAGTGAAAAAAAATCTGATCAAATTCTGCCAACATTACGTAATATTCAATTAATTAAAGCATTAGGTCGATTAACTGAATCATTGGTAAGTTAAGTTTTTTAAAGGAAAATACTTCTACTACTACTGTAGTGAACGAGAACACAGAGTTACTCAGTAAAATCAGGAAAACCATATCGTAAACGGTTAATTTGCAAATCTTCAATCCATCATCAATCCATTGTCTGACATTTCACTTATTCATGCGTTTCATACAAATTCCATTGTGTTCTAACTCTTCCTTTGTTGATCTTCCCCCATCTTCTGCTGCCAGAAATTACGTTGACACTCACGTCATATCCTACTTATAAGTAGATCGCACCACACTACTACTACTACACTATTCAAAATGAATTCATAAAATGTGAATAGTGACTGAAATGGTAGATGAAATTCAATATGTGCATTTCGTTCTGTTTGAGACTTGTTAGTTAGCTGAATGTACTTGCATCTCAGAGTTAATGTTCACTCTTGGACGGTAGTGTTTAGAGTGAACGGTATTAGGTTCAATCTGCGGAGATTCAGGTTCATCCATCTGACGAAGTCGAAATTAGATGAAACGCCTATTCTAAATTACATTGTCAACCACCATTCACCTTTGCTAATCTTACTTGTTAGTTGAAGTCAATATCGATGCATTCTCTCAGCACAGAATGCACACATGTCGAATGAAAACTGATCAATCGCAGTCCTAGCCATCAATTGAACGATTCAAGCAACGTATACAAATGAATCATTTAAAATAATATTGTTAAAAATTGTTAAAGTTTTTGTCATTTACAAATAAATATAAGTGGCACTGAACTCATCAATCATTGTTGGACCACCAGCAAAAATGTGGACGGCCGTTTCGTCCTGGTATGGGAACTCATCAGTGACAGTGCACATACAGGATTCTTGGTGCTCACAGGCTTTAAACCCAGGACCTTCGTTATTGTGCGCGGATGCCTAACCTCTAGATCACTGGGCCGGTATCCAACAATGTTAATGTCTAACTCTGATCTATCTAGGGATTTCGCTCAACCTCAACCATTTGTCTTTGATGATAGCAGAGGTCGTGGATGTTCACTGTCACTGATAAGTCCCATACTGTTGGGGATGTTAGATCCCCAGAACTCGCTTGATAAATAAATATCTTTATTTTGAATTTATTTCATGGACCGATCAGTTGACCTTGAGATCACATTTCCCACCAGGAAAATCCTCCGCTGTGATTGGTTACTGTGTCATTTTAGTATGCTATTTTTGTGACTGTCCCAAGGACGTCTCTATAGAGGATAAATAAACACAATTTGAGTGCTTGAATTCATTGTGTGCTGGCTGGGTGTTTGTAAAATACACTCTCTACACTTCTCGCTGATACCTTTTGGTCAAGGGATCATAGTAGCCTACCTGGACGCTGATTCATTATTTTGTTCTCATTATTCGGCTAAGGTGAACTCGTCATAGTTTTAAGCATATCTAGAGATGAGCGTAACACATACCAAGACGAGACGACCATCCAATGCACCCAGATTTCTAATGGTTGTCTAACAACGTTTGATAATTTCAGTAATCAACAACAATCCCCATAACTCTATATTGAAGAAATAAAAATAGGTCAGATATATTTGTCTGATAAACAAAGAAGCCATAGTAAACTTTACATTTCTCCTCTCTCCATATGATGACTGAAATACAATCTTTTGAAACCATGAGTCGATCAATGTTAGACCACCATTAGAAACCTGGAAGCACTGAAAGACAGCCGTTTCGTCCTGATATGGGACTCCCCAGTAGTGCGCATCCACGACTCCTGCACCCCGCAGGATTCGAACCCAGGACCTTCGGTATTGTGCGCGAACTTAACAATCTTCACAACGTCGTAATGCAAATTACCTGTGCTCACTAGTGACTAGCTTCGTGAGGAATCTTCTCCTAGTTCTAGTGGGAAGACGTGACCAGTGAAGTTCAACCTGTTCGCGTGTAGGCAGTGTTTACCGAAGACTGTGTATGAGGTTGCGCAACTCTGTGAATTTGATCAAGTTAGTCATTAACACCGTTAGATACCGGCTCAGTGGTCTATCGGTTAGGGCGTTCGCGAAGGATGCCGAAGGTCCTGGGTTCGAATCCTGCGGGGTGCAGGAGTCGTGGATGCGCACTGCTGCTGAGGAGTCCCATACCAGGACGAAACGGCCGTCTTTCAGTGCTTCCAGGTTTCTAATGGTTATCGATTCATGGTTTCAAAAAAAAAATGTGTAACTTAACAATCTTCACAACCCCGTAATGAAATACAATCAACGAATATTCACAACAAAAAACATGTTTGCTGTTGGTTTGCTTTTAGATCATAAATCTTTTTCAACACATTCCTTACATATATCGTACAAAACTACACCTATCAAATAACTTGAACTTGTGTACATTTCTCCCTAGAATCTACTTTGATTGTGTATTGAATATTAGATTTGACGCAAATGTATATCATTTGTTACATAATCAGTCATTTCATCTTGATAAAAAGTAAAGGTGTGTGTATGTGTGTGTCTGTGTTTGTGTGTGTGTACGAACCAATGATTGACTTTGAATCAATAGATTATGCGCAGTTGATGTTATTTATTGGCTACCTTATAACTTAATAATATATTTGATAATATTCACCTATTGTATAAATCGAGATGTAGTCGAGATGCCAGTTGAACTTATGACCTATTTATTTGAAAACTAGTTTACATCATTCAATATCATCCCAGGAGCGATTAGTTTTCATTATATTTCAAGAGAAAAAATAAGTTTATACGTTGTTGTTGTTGTTGTTATAAGGAATCTTGGAATTTTCTTAAGCCTTATAAGATAGACAGACAGTCAGATACAACGCAGAACTTCGTACGCATGTACATCAGTTCAGGTTGCCATACCACATCAGCACAGAGATGCAACTGTCAGTTCAAATCCAAGAGTGATTGCGATAGTAGAAGTATTAGCAGTAATGGAGAAGATTAGGGAGCGAACATATGATTTTTTTTTTGTAATTCAGTTTGATAAAAATAGAAGGAGAAAGATATAGATTATGACGAATTCGGAAGGTTAGAATTTCATAGAACACAAAGAGTGGATGCGCCATTGCGAACGATTTTGAGCCATGTCGTTCAAGGTCTCTAACCGTTGGTGCCTATCGTCTCACGGACTCCAACCAGATAGCCTACATCTACCAACATGGATTTCTGCCATGTTTTGGTCTGGCCGCCCCTAACTTTCTTCCAGTCTACTCCTATACTACAAAACATAGCTCGTCGCGGCAGTCGGTGGTTAGCCATACGTGACACATGTCCTAACCACCTCAACTGATAAAGTTTCACTACTTTATCTATTGATTTGCCATACCTACCTAGAACTCGTTTCCTAACAACAGCATTGCTTATACGGTTGTCCCATGATTCACGAGCAATGCTTTGAAGACGTCGATGATCGAAGACTAGTAACCTACGAATGTCCTCTACTCTTAACGGCCAATAATCCTTATAAGCGTATTTATAGTTAAAAGTTTTACAGAGTTAAATACAATCAGCTTAATTTTCTTGATTTTGCACATATGTATTGGGACCATAAATACCGTAGTATTACGGCTGAGAGTGAGAAGCGTAGCTCTCTCTTTCCTAAATTCTCTCATATAGTCATGCGTATATAGCTACTGCCATACAAGTCTCCTACTCACTGCCTTCCGAGGGCACGAATGTTTATGTACGTACGAACTCAAGAGAACGAAAGGTAAAAGATGTCTGGCATAGGCTTAAAATAGGTTTGTGAGTATGAAGGATCTATGTAGGAGAGTCGGCAAGTCCTGATTCCGAATCAATCGGGCATGCAGGCTCCAAGATCCTGACGAGACGAATAGCGCGCAAACCTATAGTGTATTCTAAAGGATACTTTCATGTAAACTTTGTTTTTTGTAAAATTTTTTCAATGTATTATTTTAATGTTTTTAAAATAATATTTCTCTTTTACTTATACTAACCCTTTTATTTTATTTCTGTATCACTAGTCACTTATCCGAGTCCTACACTCATTATTTCCTTGTGAAGTAGTAGACTTTGCAGAAGCCAATCATTGGCGGAAAGATTGATTGCTCATGTGAATAATTTAAACTGTGCTAATGTGTTTTTTTGACAACTTGAACCGGTGTACCTGCACATCAAGTTCTACATTGTGACTGACTAACAACTGACCGACTGGGTCATTGAAAAACTGATAAGATTGTAACGTCATTATTACGTAGATTTGTTATTTGGTATATTTCACTGTCGGGTGTAGGCAGTTACACATCAAAGATAATTGATCAGGTTTATGCAATGCCTTGAATTGATTGAAGTTAGACATGAACACCGTTGGTTGACCCGACCGTAGCTGCTACCTTGACGTGGTGGTCGGGCTTGCCTATCGTGATGACCCAACCGAGCTATATTGGCTGCAACATATGTTCCTGAAGGTTCTACCATGCCAGGCAGGTCGATTGGAGAACGATGAGACTAAAAGCAGCTACTCAAGGTCTGAGGGCGAAGTCGTACTGCTGACTGACTGTAGAGGGGTGTGACAGCAGTAAGGTGTTTCTCTCGGACAACCAGCATCTGCAGTGATGCTGCCTTCTCACAAGTAAGGAAGCAAGGGTTAGAAGTAGTCGACCCTAAAAATGTCACACCTCACCTTGTGTCACGGATTTCCGTCTCCGTCGGTAAGGGCTGCCTGAATAGGGCTTTAAAAGAGCGGGGCTAATGCTCAAAAAACTTCTGATAAAAAGTCCGTGCGTGACCGGCCTCAAGCAGTTGTCCCTTGGGCTCTGCGGTCACGCTTCCAGGTCTCTAAGACCAACACTAATCTATCTCCCTTTTCAGGTCCCTCAAGAAACAACCTTCGACGGTTTGGGCAGCCGGGAAGTGATAACCGCCCTCATTCCCGTAACAGCGCACGAGACCAAATTGGTCGAAATCTTGCATCTGACTGACCATTGGGTGATGACTCATTGGTCTACAGGTAGTTAAACGTAGGTGAGTGAGACCGTAGGTCCTAGGTTCGACTCCTGTAGACCGGGGTCGTGGATACGCACTGCTACTGAGTCCTATACTAGGACGATACGACCATTCAGTGCTTCCAGGTTTCTAATGATGATCTAACACTGATCGATTCGTTACTTCGACAGTAACTTTGCATACTACTTGTTAATTTTATTAGTATTTCAGTGAAGGGAGGTGCATTAACAGTGTAATGTGACATTTCTGATATTAAAAACCATGTCCTTGTTATGAAGTAACAAATATCATTAAGAATCAATCATAGAAGTCAATTATTATTGACACAATACAATGAGAAGATAAAGTTTATGAGAACTATATGTAATTATCATACTATCGTAAAAAGAGTTTGGTCGTGAATAATTTGGTGTCGTGCGTTGTTACAGATCTTCGCTTAAATTCCTCATCACTTTTATCTGTTGCTTTTGAAGTTTATTTCACTAGATTATACTCCTTGAATAACATCTTCAGACTCTAATCTCTTTAATTACTGCTTATACTTCTACTACCCCTACCACTATGGGATTTGAATTGACAATTACAACTCTCTGTGTGCTAATGTGTCATGGCAACTTGAACTGATTTAGCTATGTATCAAGTTCTACATTGCAGCTGACTGATTGACTGACTGACATCAAATTAATGTTGTACATTTCGAACAACAATCGTTTCCATTCATTTGTAAGGTAACGTTTACGCCTGCACGTAAACACGTCAACTTGATATGCTTGAACTATTACGAATTTACCTAGTCGGAAACGTGAGAACGAGGATCAAGGATCCGGCGACACGACATGCTACTCAAATCCGATTATCCCGACCCCCATATTGTGCAAAAATATAAGAAGACTTGATATGAAGTAGAACCGGTATTCTACAAGCATCCAGAAAGTACGAGGTCCGAGTCCAGAAGAGAATTAGGATCTCGAACTATGGATCCGGGAACGGTTCCTGGTCATAAAACGTTACAGATAATGCGTTATTATACATTTTGGTCGAGTAGGAAACAGCATCGAAGTTTGTGACATTGACAGTTAAGACGACCAATAGGAAGCAACATTTGAAGTGACATTGATATCTAGGACGATCATAAAATTGACCAATAGGAATTGACCAATAATTTTCTTAGGATATTGGATGAATATCCTAACAGTAACATACTTTTATTTATTAAAAAGAAGAACGAAAGATCAAATTATATAAATTAGATTATAAGAAACAACCAAGATAATTTGAATGACTCAACTCTCTACATAACAAATCAATATTATCAGTAAGGTAGGTTTGCTGTAGTTTGTATTTCAACACAAGGTCAATATGCTTCAATAAGCTCAAGTATTTGTGAGGTTGTGAAGATTTGTTAAGTTTCATTGAAATCACTAATCGATCTGTGTTAGAATAGCATTCGAAATTCGGAAGAACTGAACAGACTGAATCTTCATAGTATTGGACTTCTTAGGAGCACACAAATTCACTAACGTGGAACCACGAATTGGACTGAAGACCCTGAATCTAATGCTCGTATATTTGAACCCTAAGCCAGCAAAGCCACTATCCAATGATATGAAATGTCACCTGCTCCAATGTTGTTTCTTATTGGTTGTCCTGACTATCAGTGTCACTTCAAATGTTGCTTCCTATTGGTCGTCTTAACTGTCAATGTCACAGAATTCGATTCTATTTTCTATTCGACCAAAATGTATAAATACGCATTATCTGTAACGTTTTATGACCAGGAACCGTTCCCGGATCCATAGTTCGAGATCCTAATTCTCTTCTGGACTCGGACCTCGTACTTTCTGGATGCTTGTAGAATACCGGTTCTACTTCATATCAAGTCTTCTTATATTTTTGAACAATATGGGGGTTGGGATAATCGGATTTGAGTAGCATGTCGTGTACCCGGATCCTCGATCCCCGCTATCGTTTTGCGACTAGATAAACTCATAATAGTTCAAGCATATCAGAATGACATGTTTATGAGCAAGCGTAACAGTAACCGATCGTGGCGGTCGGGCTTGCCTATCGTGATGACTCAACCGATCTATATTGACTGGAACATGAGTTCCTTTAGGTCCAGTCTGGCCAGGTAGGTCGATTGGAGAACGATGAGACTAAAAACACCTACTCAAGGTCTGAGGACGAGTCGTACTGCTGACTGCAGAGAGGTGTGACAGCAGTAATGTGTTTCCCTCGGACAACTAGCATCCGCAGCGATGCTGCCTTCTCACAAGGAAGAAACATCAAACCTCAGCGTACCCCACGGATTTCTGTCTCCTGCGTTGATGGCTTTTAAACAAGAGTGGAGCTAATACTCAAAAAACCTCTCATAAAAAAGCCGTGCGTGACCGGCCTGAAGCAGTTGTCTCTTGAACTCTGTGGTCACGCTCCCAGGTAGTTAAGAGCAACACTAATCTACTTCCCTTTTCAGGTTCCTCAATAGACACTCACTATGTGGTCAGCCGGAAATTGACATCCGCCCTCATACCCGTAACTGACTGACTTAGTAACCGATTATTAAAGACTTTGAATGACATGGCTTAGAGTCGTTTGCAATGGCACAGATACATCCATTCTTTGTCTTCTCTCAAATTCTGACTTCATCATCACTTCTATCTTTCTCTCATCAAAATTTATTTCTCAAATGATATCTTCGATCCTTTATCTTACTACCTCTACCAGTGTATGAGATTTGAATTGACAAGTGTCCATTTCTCTTTTTGTGTGTACTAATATAGTATGTCAACTTGAATTGATCTACGTATTCACCAAGTTGCAGCATAACAAATAACCAATTGACTCATTGATTTTCCCATATATATATATTCTCTCCTTCTTCTTCTTCCTTTGTAATCCATTTCTAGTGTTGGCTATGTTATCGTGTATTGAATTTAGATACATGGAGTCAAATGTCACGAAAATCATTAAGTAAACCGTCATCATCATCAACAACATCATCATCGACTGATAGAAATGAATTGTCATCATCAACACCACACATTACTATGAGTACCGGTGGTGGTGGTGGCGTTGGCGTCGGTGGTCGTCGTGGTGGTATTTGTATGCCAAGTGAATATTATTACAATTCATTTATTGTTTGTGCTAAAGAATTGAATCGTTTCTCCGAGGCATGTCTATTAATGACTTATTTAGAAGTTAGAATACAAGCTTATAATTCATTTGGTACATTACCGGATGATGTCATTTATTGGTGTCCATTAGATGATGTGGATGTAGATAAATATGTGACAGATTTTCTTGGTTATATTGAACAAGTCAAAGATTTATCTATACATACATTTAGTCGACATAAATTTCGGTAAGTTATTCTACTCTCGCTCTATATATGTATATGAATGTATGTTTACTTACTTACTCCTGTTACCCCCAAACAGTGCATAGGCTGTCGACTAGTATTCACCAACCTACTCTGTCCTCAGCCTCCTTTTTCAGTCCTGTCCAATTACTGTCCATTCATTTCATATTTGACGCCGTTAGTTGCTTTCCTCAATGTGTGTCCTATCCATCTCCTATGCTTCTTTTTCATTTTTTCCTCAACTGGAACCTGGTTTCTTATATCTCATAGTAGTAGGTTGTTGCTGATGGTGTCTGGTCAACAACGGATTGGCGATATCTTGCGTTACTTACTTACCTACGCCTTTTACCCCTAAAGGGAGCATAGGCCGCACATCAGTTTTCTCCAACCAACTCTATCCTGGGCTTCTCTTTCTAGTTCTTTCCAGTTTTTGTTTATTCTTCTCATGTTTTTTCCTCATTTCTTGGCGTAATGTGTTCTTTGGCTTTTTTTCCTTTGACCCTGAGGTGTCCATATAGAGGCTTGTCCTAGCGTCTTTTTTGGTGGGATGAGATCGCCAACCCCATGCCCAACCCTTCTGCTTTATCCGGGCTTGGGATCGGCAGTAGCGCCGAAGGTTCTACTATGGTGTTTGTGGATAGTTGTTCCGAGTTCCACATATTCTTCGATTGGTTTGCCTATCCACGCCTTATTTTCAGCGATTTGTTTTTAGAAATTCAGATCAAATCGCGACCGGTAGGGTAAACGCGTCAGTAATTTCCGCTTACTATTTTAACTTAAACAAATATGTCTCATTAACCTAGCCCATCAACAAGTAAGATAATATCTATCGATTTAACAGTGAAACAAAGTTTAAAATGAACAGACTTCAGAAAATAGGATCAGTTCCTTGATTAAAGATTTCAGTTGCGTACTTAATGATTTTCAATTGCTTATATACAAGGCTAATTTTGCACTAAGGTCATGTTAGGATATTCATCAAATATCCTAAAAGAATTAGTTTCGTAAGTTTAATTTTTTTGGTCGATTCTTATTGGTCAATATTATGGTCGTCCTAGCTACCAATGTCACGTACTTCAATATTGTTTCCCATTGGTCATCCTGAATATCAATGGCACTTCAAATATTGTTTCCTATTGGTTTTCCTAATTGTCAATGTCACAGACTTCAATGTTGTTTCCTATTCGACCTAATTGATAAATACGCATTATCTGTAACGTTATATGACCCGGACCCGGGTACCTTCTCTTCTGGACTCGGACCTCATACTTTCTGGATGCTTTTAGAATGCACGTCCTACTTCATATTAAGTCTTCTTCTCTTACCCAGTGGTGGTTTGGGACATTCAGATTAGAGTAGCCTGTCGTGTCGCCGGCTCGTCACTCTCGTTTTCCGACTAAGGTAAACTCGTTATAGTTCAAGTATAACAGAATGACCTGTTTACGTTCAATGCGTAACAGGTCAATCATGCGAAATTGTATGTGGTTAATTACCAACATTGAAAGACGAAACAATCCATAAAAAATTTACTAATTCTGTGACGGTCTGTATTCAATACAATCCCTTAAACTTCGTAAACTTCTCGTCTTGATCATCGTTACTAGATAACACCCAACGGCCTATATAAATGAATCGATGAGTATGAATCTTTGATTACGTTTATTAACGCATCACATGCAGATCACAAAACCATAAGCACACAAAGTGAAAATGACAAGTGATCCGGTTAACATTAAATCGAATAGAATGAATATGTGTGTAGGCGGCACGGAATGCTCAATCATACCTGCTCATACAAACACGACAATAATAAAAGCACAATGGTATAGATAAGTTATTGCTGCTATACAAATGACTCCGTTTGTTAAATAAGTTAATCAAAAGGGCCTCAACCAAATTGAATGTATACAAACTCAATTATTATGTAAGTTGTTATAATTGCTTTTCGCCTTTCATTCATAATCATGTCTTCAGTGACAATGTTTTAAACAGATAAAGACAACAACCAATCAAAATCGAGGTTATAACAGAACAAGCTACGAGTTATGTTATGTGGACAAAATTCAAATACTTCACTCCTCTTCCTACCTGAAGTTTTGTGCTGATGTTTCAGTAAACGAACAATGAAAGCTGCACAACGAAAAAAAACATCCATCTCAGACAGATTGAAACTTCATCACAAGAAACGAGTTACAAAAATTAACATACCGCATAAAACCTTTGAAACACTTGATTTCTTTATCGTTCAACTTGATTGTTTGTTGATTGAGTCATACGAATATTAAACTGTGTGTTTCTGGGGTTTTTTTCAACAATCTAACTTAGGTTCATTTTTGATGGTCTTGGTGATTTTATTTCACAATTGTTACTACGTTTAATTCCACAAATTGAAAGAATGAATTCAAATGGAAATAAGAAAATGTAAGTGTATATAAATAATTATCATTGTGTTCATGATACTACTAATTCTTATGTCCTTTACTTAATGGCCATTTTTCGCATCCGTATAGTGTACTGCGCAGCAGTTCGCTCTGTCCTACTATACGGATGCGAAACATGGCCGTTAAGAGTAGAAGACATTCGTAGGTTACTAGTATTCGATCTAAGGAGTATCCGAAGCATTGCTCGTGTATCATGGGACAACCGAATAAGCAATGCTATCGTTAGGAAACGAGTACTAGGTAAGAATGGCAAATCAATCGATGAAGTATTGATACTTCACCAGTTGAGGTGGTTGGGACATGTGTTACGTATGCCTAACCACCGACTGCCTCGACGACGATGTTTTGAGGTGTAGGAGTAGGTTGGAAGAAAGCTAGGAGCGGCCAAACCAAAACATGGCAGAAATACATGAAGTCACTGACAAGTGGACTGAATCATGTTGGTAGATGTAGGCTACCTGGTTGGGGTCCGTGAGACGAAAGTCACCAATGGTTAGAGACCTTGAACAATATGGCTCAGAATCATTTGCAATGGCACAGGTGCATCCACTCTTTGTATTCTCCCTAAATCTAACCTCTAAAACTATGGGATTTGAATTAATAATTGCATTTATATTATGGCAACTTGAACTCATGTACGTACGTACCAAGTTCTACGTTACTGCCTAGAACTCGTTTCCTAACGACAGCATTGCTTATACGGTTGTCCCAAGATACACGAGCAATGCTTCGGATAATCCTAGGATCGAAGACTAGTAACCTACAGAAGTCCTCTACTCTTAACGGCCAAGTCCCTCACCCGTACAGTAGGACAGAGCGAACTGCTGCACAGTACACTCGTCATTTAGTCGGCAAACGGATATCTCGCCTACGCCATAAGTAATGCAGGTTGGCAAAAGCCAGTCGAACCTTCTGTATCCGAGCCGAGATTTCGTCAGTCCCCAGGCCATCAGCACTGATGAGACTCCCAAGATAAGTGAAGCGGTCTACACGCTCGACTACTTCACTCCCTATCACTAGTTCAGGTGCCGATGAAACCCAATCTTGAAGCAACATTTTGCTTGCATTGTTGCTTAGGGTAGTCAGAAGACTGTGCATTTTGTCAGCGTCTTCACCAAGTAGAACTATGTCATCGGCATATTCTAAGTCAATAAGCGAGCCTCTTGGTAAGAGCATTTCCTTGTTTGTTTATAATCTGACCAAATTCAATAGTCAATAGTTATGTATGTTTTTGTTTTGAACGCAACTTTTTTTTTCTACTCAATCATTTGATTCACTGTTTATTATTGTATTTAGGTGTCGAAATGTGTATCGTTTACAACAAGCACTAGCTACTTTAACTGAAACGCATGAATCTGATTTAATTCGAGTGAAACAATTATATGAATTATTCTTTTTAACACCTGAAGTAAGTTTTGTTTGAATTGTTTGAAAAATTTAAAATTAACACAAAAAAAGAACCGCCAACTTTGAAATTTTATGACTTATGATAATCTTAATGACGGATTATTTCACATGTAAACTGTTTAAACGGAGTTTTATGCGATGAGATTGTGCAAAATGTGTTTATGTAAGAACTGAGAAGATCTGGTAGGTGTTGGAGTAGGCTAACGAGTTAGAAGCAGCAACTGTGGTGTTGTTATGATATTGATCTGGCTGTAAAAGGTCATGTTTTCAGAATGTGACATTTTATTTAGACGTCCAAGTTGACGTGATCTGGCAACTCTCTTTCTTTCTGAATGATTGCTTATGTCTTGTTAGAAATACGGAGGTTCATCACATTGATATTAATTCACTTGGTGTCAGCATCTTGAAACACCGACTTTAGTGGTGGTATGAACATGTACCATAAATATGGTTCCAGTTAATTCCACATAGAGGATTATTAGCCGAGGCTGGAACTGGTTGAATAAGGCAAAAACGTGCTATGGGATGGAGAAAACCTCTACAGGGCTGCCATCTAAAGTCCCTTTTCAGAGATAGTATAACACCTCTCCCTCCAATGCTATCCAATTGCTGTTCATTCATTTCGTATCTGTTTCCGATTCTCGGTGGAATATGTTCTTTGGTCTCGCTCTTCTGCTTTCGCTTTGTGTACTCCAAGTTACGGCTTGCCATATGACGCAGCTGGATGATTTCTTCAATGTGTGTCCTATCCACTTCCAGTGCTTATTCTTAATCTCTTCTTCAGCTTAAATCTGTTTTGTTCTCTCCCACGGTAGGTTGTTGCTGATGGTGTCTGGTCAACGGATCCTTGATCATATGTAATATAGTAACAGAATAAAAATATTTTCTATTTGCCAGGATATACTACTATCGTATAATAATATCAGTCGGATAGACAGATACTCGATTGATACGCTACACATAGACTAGTGGATCACATCTTATCAGATACAGGTTTCATGACTGAAAAATAAAAAACCTGAGTATGAACTAAACTATCCCTTACTTTTCTTCAACACAATTACAAGTAGTCTACACTCAATGAGTCCACAGTCGAAATCAGGAATAAGAAGGAGGTCGTATATTAAATATTCACATTATAGGGTTATGGAGATTGTTGAGTTACTCCTTAATTGAAATCATGAATCAATCAACGTTAGACCACCATTAGAAGAAACCTAGAAGCACTGAAAAACGGATGTTTCGTCCGGTATGGGACTCGTTATGGTTTCAAAAAGTAACTCAAAAAATCTCCACAACGCCGTAATGCAAATTACATGTGCTTGCTAGTGCATAGCTCCGTGATGAAGTTTCTTCGAGTTCTAGTGAGAAGCCGTGAAGTGGAGTTTTACCCTAGTTCATTTGTGAAGCAGTGCTCACTGAAGACAGTAAATGAGGTTACACAAGACCGTAGATTCAATATTCAGTAAGCTGATTAATCCGTCTGTTCACATTAGTGTCTAATGACAGTTTAATTTCACTAGCCATATATCACATCAGAAAATTGCTAGACCTAATATTTCAACGTGTATATACTTACTTACGCCTGTCACCCCCCAATGGAGCATAGGCTGTCGACAATTATTCTCCAACCTTCTCTGTCCTAAGCCTCCCTTTCCAGTTCTGTCCGATTGCTGTTCATTCTTCTCATGTCTGTCTCCATTTCTCGGCGTAATTTGTTTCTTGGTCTTCCTGTTTTCTTTTAACCTTGAGGGTTCCAATTGAACACTTGTCTTGTGACGTATTTATGTGCCTCCCGCGATGTGTGTCCTATCCACTTCCAGAGCTTCTTTTTGATTTCCTCCTCCACTGGAATCTGGTTTGTTCTCTGCCACAACAGATTGTTGCTGATGGTATCTGGCCAACGAATCTGTTACGAATGCATGTAATCACGTCTATTGATATGCTTGAACTATTACGAGTTCAACTCAGTCGGAAAACGAGACTAAGGACCAATGATCCGGAGACACGACAGGCTACTCTAATCCGATCATCCCAAACCCACTTTGAGTAAAAGAAGAAGACTTGATATGAAGTAGAATGTGTATCCTACAAGCATTCAGAAAGTACACAGTCCGAGTGCAGAAGAGAATAAGGATCTGGGTCATAAAACGTTACAAATAATGCATATTTATACAGTTAGGTAAATAAGAAACAACATTCGGAGTATGTGACATTGATAGTTAGGACGACCAATAGACAGATAGACAGACAGATACAACGCAGAACTTCGTACATAAGTACATCAGTTCAGGTTGCCATACCCCAACAGCACAGAGACGTAACTGTCAGTTCAAATCCAACAGTGATAGTGATAGTAGAATTATTAGCAGTAATGGAGAAGATTAGGGAGCAAAGATATGATTCGAGAAGTATAATTCAGTAAGATAAATTTAGAAGGAGAAAGATAGAGATTATGAGGAATGCAGAGGGTCGGAATTAAAAAGCACACAAAGAGTGGATGCACCTGCGCCATTGCAAACGATTCTGAGGCATGTCGTTGAAGGTCTCTATAACCATTGGTGGCACGTAGCCTACATCATGCCTTCATGGATGACTGCCATGTTTTGGTTCAATAGGAATTGACTAATAGAATTAGACTTGCAAAAATCATTCTCTTAGGCTATTCTGAAGATAACCTAACATAATCTGAAGTATTTTGTGTAGACAACTATTAATAAACACGTGTATCTTCTGAATGATCGCTTTAGTAGTTTCCCAAATTTCTACCTTCTATACAGTAGAACCATCTTGACACATTTGTATCCAAATACATATATACATATATTTGTATTGAAGGAGAACACAGGTGAGGGCGACCGAATTGTATTTATCGCAAATTACAGAGTTAATCAGTAAAATAGGAAAACCATATCGTAAATCGTTCATTTGCAAAATATCAATCCATTGTCTGACATTTCACATATTCATGCGTTTCATACAAATTCCATTGTGTTCCCACTCTTCCTTTCTTGATCTTCCCCCCATCTTCTGCTGCCAGACATTACGTTTACACTCGCCACATATACTAGTTATAAGTAGAGCGCACCACACCATCTTGACACATTTGTATATATACATATATATATGCATATATATTTCTTACTATTTATCTATTCTGTTTTTCCTTATTTTTCACTAATTCAACAATTAGGCCGTCGTGAATCGTTTAATGGAGCATGGTATTGCATTTGATCATACAGTCTATGCTAATCTTTTACATTTATATCGACGTAGTCATTCCACCTATGCATATTCAAAAATACAAAGTTGTATTGCTCGTCTGACCACAGTGACACATAGTGGACAAATTTGAAATTATTAATTGAGAAGATGAGACGAGAGAGTATTTTTAACATTCGATGCATCATACCAGCATACTCTTACAAATGTTGGTGTTGAATTTGGTTGTGTAGAAGACTTCTTCTTCTTTATTTCATGAGAACCAATGAAAGTTGTTGCTTTTTCTATTGATTCTGCCTATTTGTGACATAATCAAATGCTTCTTTTTTTCTTCAATTCACATTGTCAGTTTTTTTTAATTTTTTTGTCTTGTTGCACACTCACGCACACACCGACACACACACACACACAAGAGAGAGAGAGAGACATTGAAATTTTCGCGCTTCTTTCAACAATACACGAACAAACAAACAAACAGTTTATCGACGGGGGGGGAGATTCTTTTTTTGTTTTCTTTGAACAGAAGAAACTGTGATTTATGTTTGATGCAGAAGACTAATTTGTAATAATAATAATAATAATAAACTTTTTATATCATATATACACAGGAAGTTGATTAGTGAGTAAGTAGCTTGTGGGATATAGAGATTTATTCAGTACTTACGCCTGTTACCCCCAATGGAGTATAGGCCGCCCACCAGTTTTCGCCAACCAACTCTGTCCTAGGCTTCCCTCTCTAATTCTGTCCAATGTTTGTTCATTCTTCTCATCTCTTTCTCTATTTCTCAGCGTAATGTGTTCCTTGGCCTTGCTCTTTTCCTTTTGCCTTGCGGGTTTCATGTGAGGGCTTGTCTTGTGACGCAGTTAGGTGCTTTTCGTAATGTGTGTCCTATCCACCAACTCCACCGCTTCTTCCTGATTTCCTCCTCCACTGGAATCGATTTCTTCAGTGCTAGTTGTCATTTGCCAACTTGGAATGTTGAGTAAAAAAAATTATGATCTAAGTGCAGTTTGAATTGGAGTTACTCATCATTGACATTATAAGAGACGTAATTATTATGCTTGTTGGGTCAGTTGTGACTGATTTGCAGTCAATCAGCTACAAAGTAGAACTTCATTCGCTACGTACGTACATATATATCAGTTTAACTTGCCGTACCACAATAGTACAGAGAGAGATCTAATTGTTAATTCAAATCCCATGGTAGTACTAGAGATAGTAGAAGTATTAGCAGTAATCAGAGAGATTAGGGGGTTCGAAGATATTATTCAAGAAGTTTAGTTCAGTGAGATAACTTTAGAAGGAGAAAGGTAGAAATAATGAGCAATTCAGGTTAGAGCTTGAGAAAAGACAGAGAATGAATGCAGCTGCACCATTCCAAACGATTTCGAGCCATGTCATTCACAGTCTTTAATCATCGGTTACTATCATCTCGCGGATCCCAACCAAGTAGCCTACATCTATTATTATCATGGCTCAGTTCAGTTGTCAATGACTTCATGGATTTGTGCCATGTTTTGGTCTGGCAGCCCCTAGCTTTATTCTAGCCTACTCCTATATCAGACAACTTCGCTCCTCGATGCACTCGGTGGTTACGCATAGGTAACAACTGTCCCAACCACCTTGACTGATGGAGACTCACTACTTCATCACTTAATCTGATATCCTTACCTAGCAGCCGTTTCCTAACAACAGCATTGCTTACTCGGTTGTCCCACGATACTCGAGCAGTGCTTCGAATACTAGTAACCTTCGAATATCTTTTATTCTTGGTGTCCATGTTTTACGCCCCTAAAGTAGGACGGAGCGAACTACTGGGCAGTAGACTCGTCCTTTAGTTAGCTGACAGATATTTCGCCTATCCTATAATTGACGCAAGTTGGTAAAGGCCAGTCAAACCTTCTTTATCCATGCTGAGATTTCGTCAGACACCAGGCCATCATCACTTATGAAACTCCCAAGATAAATGATGCGATAAATACGCCTAGCTGCTTCACTTCCTATCTCTAGTTCAGGTGCCCATGCAACCTAATCCTGAAGCAACATTTTGTATTTTAATGGGTAAACCACAAACCGAGAATGCTTGCATTGTTCCTTAGAGTGGTCAAAAGACTGAATTTTGTCAGTATCTTCATCCAATGGAACTATGACGTCGCCATATTCCAAGGCACCTAGCCGAGTCTCCCGGTAAAGGTCTAACCCTTGAAAAGTCAGACGAAGATAATGTTTCCTCTAAAAGCATGTCAATGACGGAGTCGAACATCATTTAACGTCATTAGTTCCGATGATAGTTCGCCGTATGCATTGATCCGCAGATACTTTTAATGCTGATAAATCGAGACAAACCCTATACCACGATTGAGATCTTACATCAAGTGTCCTATGTTTTTTTTGGTTAGAAGCAGCTTTCAAGATATTTTACGACTAGGTTTCATGCTAGATATCACTCACTGATATTAGCACACCCTAGATATCATATTTTACACTGCAAATGACCACCCATTGGTCGATCTATTTATATCAGCTCCAAACGATTAAGTTGTATCTAATTTGGAATCGTTAGTAATAATGATTATTTCAGTAGAAAATAGGTTTGAAAGTCGTTAAAAGGTAATTTGTTTCTCTTTAGTTGCATCCTCAATAATAAGCGCCAAACACGAATTTCAATTTTCATTCAATTTTCTAAACCTCATTCAATAGTTTAGCATAATACATCATGTTCCTTCCATCAAAGTAATATCGCATGATAACTTATATAGCTAGACAACAAGAAAATCTCATCAATCGTATGACAGTTGAATTATATTTTTTTGGATTTGATAAGCGTTGTTAGACCTTGTTTGGTAAACTACACATGCCTTATCAATAATGTGAAATAGCATCCAAGACAGTCGTCATCAGCCAATTAGTCTGTAGTAAAATGAAACCTGTAGATCTCTCTACTGCCTTCTTGTCACCTAACCTCATCATCTGGTTCTTTTTCATGCGTTCGCAAGCAAGACCGAAGGTCCTGGGTTCGAATCCGGCCAGTAACAGCAGTCGTGGATGCGCACTGTCACTGATGAGTCCCATACCAGAACGAAACGGCCACCTAGTGCTTTCAGACTTCTCCTAGTATTCTAACAATAATTCATTGCTCAGTTTAGAGGCTTTAATAACTTCCTAAGCAATAATTGTTTAACATCGAAACATAAAAGTCTAATTTTAACTTGGCCATATATTCTATGCTATCCAAGTTAATATGATCATACTCTAAAATATGATCATCATAATTTATCGAAAATTGGCTGACATACCTATTCGTAAATTCACTACTTATTGGTTGTTCTATAATAACCTTTAAATATGATGATGCCATGTCAATCAAAAAAGGTCACACATGTATGTTTTTTTCGATAAAAATTATCAATTAGTTTTTGTTTATACTATAACATAGAGAATATGACTGTCGACGTGGCTTTATTCAGTTCAATACTGTTAATAAACAGCGTGACAATTTCTATACATTCAAGAATTCATGAGAATTATCGAATAATAAGCATTTGTCCTCTCTAATATGTTAAACAAACCATGATGTACAAAGAAGTGGTGTAGAACAGAGCTCCGTTGTTTATTTTCCTCTTGATGTTGGTGTTATTTTAAACCTTCCGGCTCTTCAATCTTGTACCAACCTCATGTTTAGTTTATACTGGTAATTGATATTGTTAGTTTGTGACTCCTGCTTATCATCTTGTTGTCTCTCGACAAGGTGTATAACAGCTTGTGGACACATAGTGTAGTGTGCCGATTTACTGCGTGTTCTTAAGCTCGGTTTATAAATCAGAAGATGAACTCCAAGTATCGTATACGTTTATTGTAGCACACCACAATAAGGATAGCAGAGAAGCGAATTGGAGAAGGCTAAGAGCCAACTCTTTGGATTACAATGCGAGCGAATGAGTGAAGCGAATAGGAGAAGGCTGTTGAGCCAACTCGAAGAGATAGAGTATGACTAAGAATATATAGTCAGATAAGAATAAGACAGACATATGACAAGCGAAATAGATATGCACACACATGAATAAAAGCGACGAATGATTGACAAGATTAAAAGCAAGCGATACAAATCATTTGAGTTCATGAGGATATTAAGAGATTAACATTAAAGCGAAAAGTATGAATATGCGCGCAAGTGTAAACAATGTTCAATCATACCAGCGCATACAAACCACACAATAATAAAAGCCAATGGTACATATAAGTTATTGTTTTACAAATGGCTTGGTTAAATAAATTAATCGAAAGGGCTTAACCAAGTTAGATGTGAGAGGACTGAAATATATGTGGAGGCACTACAAGTTCATGAGAATTATCGAATAATAAGCATTTTTTTCTCTCTAATATGTAAACAAACTATGATGTACAAAGAAGTGGTGTAGAACAGAGCTCCGTTGTTTATTTTCCTACTGATCTTGGTGTTATTTTAAACCTTCCGGCTCTTCAATCTTGTACCAACCTCATGTTTAGTTTATACTGGTAATTGATATTGTTATCTCGCGACTCCTGCTTCTCGTCTTGTTGTCTCTCGACAAGGTGTATAATAGCTTGTAGACCTAGTACACCTAGTACATCATAAAGTGTCTGAAACTGAATGAGAACTATTTGTGAAAACCAGTCGAGAGAGCACTTATTGATCGATTGAGACAAACCTCGACTTTTTAGAATTCGACGACTAGCAACCACGTTACATATATGTTACGAATGCACGTGACCAAGTCATTTTGATATGCTTAAATTATTACGAGTTCACCTCAGTCGGAAAACGAGAGCAACGATTCGGTGACACGATATGCTACTCTAGTCAGATTGTCTCAAACCCTCATTGATTAAAAGATGTCCTGATATGAAGTAGATTCTGTATTCTACAAGCATCCAGAGAGTTCAATTTCCGAGTGCAAAAGAGAAGACGGATCCCGAACTAGGCATCCGGGTCATAAAACGTTACAGATAATGCATATTTATACAATTAGGTCAAATAGGAAACAACATTGAAGTCTGTAACGTTGACAGTTAAGGCGACCAATAGGAAAAAGTATTTGATGTGACGACCAATGGGAAACAACATTGAAGTACGTGACGACTATAAGATTGACCAATAGGAATCAGACTTACAAAAATAATTCTCTTAGGATATTTGATGAATATCCTAACAATATGGTAGAGCGGTTGTTTAATTAAAACGTTAAATTATCCAATTTCGATACTGATATTCTTAATCTTCCTACCAGAAAGCAGTTCACTGACTAAACCAGATCATTTATATCTATCCACACCCAATGACCAATCACATTTACTAATCACAATCTCGTCATTCGGTTTAATTATTTAGAGGTTTTTTCTTATCTTCCTAATATAAAATTAACTAACCCATCAATAGAAATTAGTATAAAATGATTTAAAGCTCAACAATCACAAATTGACCTGAATAATTACTTAGCTTAAATTAATTACTATCTCTATTATTTACTATCATTAATTGCTGTAATCAAAGCCTACAAAAGGTTACCAGTCACAAACAAAGTATTAATAATTGCTTTATGACAAATTTACAAGATTTTCATTATACAGTTGTGGAGATTGTTGAGTTTCGTTGAAATGATGAATTATTGATCAATGTTAGACCACCATTAGAAACATGGACGTTCGTTTCTCCCTAGTATAGGTTTCATCAACAGTACGCATCCAAGACCCCTAACCCGCAGGAATCGAACGCGGAACCGTCGGTCTCGTGCGCGAACGTTTAACCTCTAGATCAATGGGTCGGCATTTAACAGTGCTAACATATAACTGTGATCAACTCAAGATTTTGCGGAACCTCAGTTCACGAGGGTCGTGGATGCGCACTGTCTTTGAGATCCGTACTAGGAAGAAACGGCCATCCAGTGTGTTGAGGATGTCAGATCCCCAGAACTCGCTTGATAGATGCCTTATTTTGGATTTCACGTTTGCTAGCATAGGCTGATTAGTTGACCTTGAGATTTCATTTCCCACCAGGAAAATCCATGGCTGTGATTGGCTGTTGTGTATTTTAGTGTGTTATTTTCGTAACTGTCCCAAGGACGTTTCCATGATGTATAAATAAACGGGAAATGTTTGTTTGATTGTATTGCGATTTCTGGGTGTTTAGAGAATATACTTTCCACGCTAATCAAGTCTTCTGTTTTGCATTTTGGGATCAAGGTAGCCTACCTGGACACTAGTCCATTGTCTCGTTCGCGTTTATCGACTAAAGTGAACTCGTAATACAGCTACAAGCATACCTACCTAGTGACGAACTTAACACAGTGCAACCTAACAATGATCGATTCATCATTTCAAATGAAATTGCTAAGATTTATTAAACTCTATTGTAACAACATATAAACAGACGCAGCAACTCAATTAATATATATATATATATATTTATAAATATGTATATATTTGTGTACAATGAAATTTGTAAACATACTTGATCATTAAGTATAAAGACAAGAAACAGAAGAAAAAAAAAGACTAAGCCTAATAAGAGAATAAAACATTTGAAACAACCTCGAAAAAATAATACAAACTTGAAATTCTTTTTATTTGTATTCAATTTTATATGCTACTACTAATACTACTGCTGCTACTACTACTAAAACTACTTAATAGAGAATAATATTTCCATGTAAGAATGATCGATATTCAACTATGCAAAATGACTTAAGTTTTCATCATTCAAATCAAATTGATTTATAACGAATATTTAAGGAAAAAAGAGAGAATTAAAAACCAAAATCATTGAACATTGATCGCATTTGTAGCGCGCACACACTGACACACATAAAAATGAATTTTTTTTAAATACAATTTGAAATAAAATTCAAATCATGACATATGTGTAGCCGAAAAAAAATTAAACAGTAGAACATGATGTTGATGATGACGATGCTGATGATGTTGAAGTGAAGGAAATCAATACAATGAATGACAAGACAAAGGCAAAGAATACACATAGTTGAACAAAGAGTGGTAAAAGTACTCACAATATTGAATCTAATTCATAAAAATTACAGTTTGTTTAAATAAAAAAAACTATGATGTAATTATTATTGACAAGTGAGACACCACCAACCACCACAAGCCTCAGTCAGTCAGTGAGTTACAACGTAGGAGGACTACGTACATACGTACATTAGTTCAAGTTGTCAAACCACAAGCCTATATATATATATATATATATATATATATATATATTTGATACGTATATTGTATAACACAAGCAAATAAATAATGTACTTTGTTCAATAATGTAGAAACAACTAACAATATTCCCTAACTACAGAGAATTATCTCATAAATACGATTGACAAAAGAAGAGGCAGGGACAATTTTCAATGTGTAATCCGTGAGAGTTGATCGGTGTAAGACGTAGCACAACACGGAGTGGGGAGGGAGAACACAGTAATCCTGATGATGATGATGATATTTTGGCGAAAATGAAAAACAAGACAAGAATATTCAGAGAATAAAATCATCACAGTTATTCAACACAACAGAAGAACAGAAGAGATTTACCCCGAGAGGAATAATCAATCAATAGTAAAATATACAAAATTTAGATGAATAAGATGAATGAATGACCAATGGAAATAGGCGGAACAACAGAACTATTAAAATGCACAGCTATATTTATGATTTATATAAATATATACACTGATTGATTGACTGAATTCTATCTATTGATAATAAGAGTAAGAATCATGTAGAAACCGAACATAATCAATCACATGTCATGCTTACAAAAACACTACAATACCAATGTAGAGGAGACACAGAAAGAGAGTGCGCGCGCGCGCGCGAAAAACAGAGAGAAAAGGAAGCAACACCAGTGGACACACACTAAGACTATAGATGATTTCAAATGCATCATCACTTAAATAGAAATTTTAAGTGACAAAAAAAAATTCAACGAGTCGTAGAGAGAGAGAGATGAATTGCTATTCCGCCCACTGCTAAAAAATAAGGAATTTTAATCAACCGACTGACTACTCAACAATCAAACAGGAAGTAACAATCTCTTCAAGATACATACATAGATAGATAGATAATCATGATTGACAGGGAAAAAACACGTTGTTGCATACATGTTCATCATCAAAAGAGGTAGATAGGATAGTTTAATGGTAAAAGTGAATAATTGATGAAATAACAGTAAAAACAAATGCACACACACTTCAGTAGGATGTAGAGTAAGTTATATGTGGTTGGTTACGCACACACACACATACATACAGAGAGAGAGAGAGAGACAGAATGTGCATAGGAACGACGAATTGCTGCTCAATGCTTGCACAATACTAAAACAAATCATATTATTTGCAATTTTAAATAAAAAAGTCAAGAAAATCAAATGCGAAAGAAAATGTACTGCACATGTTTCTTTTTTCTTCTTGTTTTACCCCACCACAATTTGCTCTCTCGCCTCTCTCTCTCTCTCTGCTTTTACACTGGTACTTCAGTTTTATGCTAAACCATTTGTATTGACAGTATTCGAAACACGTAGTAGATTATTATTATTTGTACAATTTATATGACGTCGATCATTTCCACTTAAATGTTGATGATCAATGTGATTACTACTGGCATTCGTAACCATCACGGCGGCGGCGGCGGCAGTAGTAGTAGCAGTAGTACTACTACTACTACTATTAGTAGTAGTAGTATTGACATGAGAAGCGGTAGTAGTCGGTGAACAAATAGTGTTATTAGTATGATTATGATTATTATTATTACTACTATTATTACTATTATGACATGGTATACCATTTTTCACAATTTTACTCGATGGATTTGCCTTATTTGGCGGCGGCTGCGCGCAAGATGGTGATACAACTAATTCCGGCGGTTCCACATTCTCGTAAACATTTGTGGCAAGATGTTGAAACACTGCAAGAAGTTGAGCAAATGTTGGTCGTGCATCTGGATTATACGCCCAACAATCATGCATTATAGCGAATACATCATCATTGGCTAAATGTGGCCTAGGCAAACGTACACCTTCTTCAATTTGACGCAGTACTTCAAAACTATCTTGATCGGCGTAGGGGTGTTCACCCAACGAGAACATTTCCCATAAACATATACCAAATGACCAGACATCACTAGCATGACTGAATGTTTTGTAATAAATTGATTCAGGTGCATACCATTTCACTGGCCATTTACCACGTTGTGTAGCTTTGTAATAATCCGATTCAACGCCAACAGCACGTGATAGACCAAAATCAGAAATTTTTGCACATGAATGATTTGATAAGAGCACGTTGCGACAAGCTAAATCACGATGGACAAATCGAGCTGATTCTAAAAAACTCATACCACTTGCAATCTAGAATTGTGTTGTTTTTTTTTCCGGTGAAATCAAAAGAAAATCAATAAATATAGTTGAAACAACAACAACAAATAAGGAAGAATAGTAAAAAATTCAATTGATATTTTGATCTGATCAGATTATAGTAAAAAAATGGTTCGTTTCAGTTTAAAATTGATTTATGAGAGTGAAATACAACTGGCCCCTAAATGCGCTGGTACACCCGAAAGTGGGGAAAGTCAGTTCTCACTCCAAATGCTCTCATATGGCTATGCGTAGATAACTACTGCCATTCAAGTCCTACACACTACCTACCTTCTCGTGGCACAGGTGTTTTTTTACGAAAAGCGAGTGTTTGGTCAGAGCTTAAACCAGATTGTTGGGTATGGTGGATCTAAGTAGGAGAGTTGGAAGACCCTGATGTTGAGGTGTAAGGTGATTGCAGTTAGTCGGTAGGATATGCTGTCTCAATGTTTTTTTAAGCAGGTGATAAAGAGTCGATAGAGCGTATCTACTACCTTAAATGAAACGATGCTTCCAGCGGGATTCGAATTAATACCGCCCATCTAACATAGCTCAAGCTGTCAACACTAAAAAAAGATGGATAAAGAGGATTTATACAGGATCCTATAAAATGTTGGGGATGTTAGACTCCCAAAATTCGCTTGATAAATGCCTTATTTTGGATTTCATGTTTGCGAGCATGGGCTGATCAGCTAACCTTGAGATTTTATTTCCCACCACGAAAATCCATGGCTGCGATTGGCTGCTGTGTATTCTAGTGTGCTATTTTCGTAACTGTCCCAAGGTAGTTTCTATGATGTATAAATAAAAGAGAGTTGTGTGCTTGATTGTATTGTGTGATTGCTGGGTGTTTGTAGAATATACTTTCTACGCTTATCAAGTCTTCTGTTTTGCAGTTTGGGATTCAAGGTAGCCTACCTGAACTCTGGTTCATTGTCTCGTTTGCATTTTATCGACTATGGTGAACTCGTAATAGCTTCAAGTGTATCTAGTGACGAACATAACATAAAATGTCCATCTCCTTACAATTACGAGTACGTTTAAGTGACTAATGCCAACTAGAACAAGAAATTCTAATTCTACAAACTTCTCTTTCAACCAATCATCTAATATATATATTTGATGCAACTAGTGTGGTGTGAGCTACATATAAGTAGTATATGACGTGAGTGTCAACGTAATGTCTGGCAGCAGAAGATGGGGGAAGATCAAGAGAAAGGAAGAGTTAGAACACAATGGAATTTGTATGAAACGCATGAATAGTAGTGACAATGGATTGATGTTTTGCAACAGGAACAGTCCAGTTCGATATGATGAACTGATATTTTGCAAATTAACAATTTACGATATGGTTTTCCGATTTTACTGAGTAACTCTGTAATTTTCGTTAAATACAATTCGGTTGCCCCACCTGTGTTCTTGTTCACTACACTAGCACAATTTTTTTATCTGTACACAGAGAAACAGAAGAAGCAACCAACCAACCAACAATCCTCAACATAGCTCGACGAGGCAGTCGATGGTTAGGCATTCGTAACACATGTCCCAACCACCTCAACTGATGAAGTTTCACTACTTCATCTATTGATCTGTCATCCCTACCTAGTACTCGTTTCCTAATAACAGCATTGTTTACTCGGTTGTCCCACAATATACGAGCAATGCTTCTTAAACATCTATGATCGAATACTAGTAACCTACGAAGAACATCTTCTACTCTCACTGGTCATGTTTCACAGCCATAAAGTAAGACGGAGCGAACTACTGCGCAGTACACTCGTCCTTTAGTTAGCGAACGGATATCTCGCCTACGCTATAAACAACGTAAATTGGCAAAAGCCAATCGAGCTTTCTGTATCCGCGTAGAGATTTTGTCAGTCACCAGGCTATCATCAGCACTGATGAGACTCCCCACCCAGATAAATGAAGCGATCTGTATATAGTGGGGGGGGGAGGAGGTGGTCAGCAATGCTCAACATCATAACTGGCTCATACAAACATGATAACAATAAGCAAAACAATCAACAATCAATCAACTTACTTGCATGCTCCAATTATACAATTCAGGTAGTTGACATTTTTCTGGATAATCTAATAAATAATCTAATAGACTGCCCAACTCGGCTAATTCTAATATCATCATTAAACGTTTATTTTCACATACACCATATATGGTAATAATATGTGGATGAGATAATTGCATCATAATTGTGGCTTCTTTTAAAAAATCTAATCTTTGTGATGGTTGTACAAGAACCTTGAAATAATAATAATAATAACAAGAATGACAATAGATTAGAAAGTTATAATAAATCACTGTCGTATAGACTAACTAATAATAAAAATTGGATTATGGCTAGCAATCGAGTGCAGTACCTGTACTTACTTACTTACTTACACCTGTTACCCCACAATGGAGCATAGGCCACCGCCCACCAGTTTTCACCAATCAACTCTATCCTGAGCTTCACTTTCTAATTCTTTCCAGTTTTTGTTCATTCTTCTCATATCTTTCTCTATTTCTTGGCGTAATGTGTTCCTTGGCCTTCCTCTTTTCCTTTTGCCTTGAGGGTTCCAAGTGAGGGCTTCTCTTGTGACGCAGTTGGATACTTTTCTCAATGTGTCCTATCCACTTCCACCAGTTCTTTCTGATTTCCTCCTCCACTGGAATTTGGTTTGTTCTCTCCCACAGTACGTTGTTGCTGATGTCTGGTGTCTGGCCAACGAATACGAAGTATTTTGCGTAGACAACTGTTAATAAATACTTGTATCTTCTGGATGATGGCTTTCGTAGTTCTCCCGGTTTCCGCTCCATACAGTAGAACTGTCTTGACATTTGTATTGAAAATCCTGATTTCGGTTTTGGTTGAAAGTTGTTTGGAGTTCCAAATATTTTTCAACTGTAAAAATGCAGCCCTTGCTTTGCCAATCCGCAACCTCACATCTGCATCGGATCCACCTTGGTTGTCGATTATGCTGCCCAGATATGTAAAGGTGGTAATGTCCTCCAAGGCATCTCGATCAAGAGTAATTTGTTTGGTGCATGTTGTGTTGCATCGGAGAATTTCGCTTTTTCCTTTATGTATGTTGAGACCTACTGCTGCAGAGGCTGCTGCTACACTGGTCGTCTTCTCTTGCATTTGTTGTTGCGTGTGCGATAGAAGAGCCAGATCATCTGCGAAGTCCAGATCATCCATCTGCATCCTGTGTTTTGTCCTAATTCTGAACATTGTCAATTGTGTATAACGGTATAACGGTTAGGCCGTTCGCGGACAATACCGAAGGTCCTGAGCTCGAATCCTGCGGGGTGCAGGAGTCGTGGATGCGCACTGCTGAGGATTCCCATATTAGGACGAAACGGCCGTCCAGTGCTTCCAGGTTTCTAATGGTGGTTTAACATCGATCGATTCATGGTTAATTGATCTGTAAATTATTCATTAAATCGCCACTTGCCAGTGATCTTCTTATATACAATGGATTTAATTTTTGAAAATACAAATTCAATTCAAATATACAAATTACGTATAAGGGGACAAAAACATAACCTTTATACTCCGTTTTCATCAAAAAAAACGTTTTGGTAGCATTACAGTCATGGATCTTTGTATTACATATCAAGGATAAAAAAGCAATTCTTAAAAATTGATTGCATCTTTCAATTAACTGATCAAAAAAATGAATGAACTTATCAACGTTCACTGAGCCAACATTGTATCCATCTTCAAGAACCTTTATTATGAGGTTTTTTTTCAATTTTCATTTAAAATCAAATTCGTCTCATGAATTGCAAGTGTTTGATTGAATCTTGATTATGACTTAACCGATAATCCTATTGTTGTCATAACATAACATTTTTTTATTAATGTCAATATTAATAATAATAATCAGTACAAATTATGGTTAGACCTTATGTTCAACTTTTTTCAATTAGAGTTATAGAGATTAGTGTTTGTTTTGCACATTTGAAATCATCAATCAATCATTGTTAGACCACCATCAGCAGTGTGCATCCACGACTCCTGCTGCACCTGGCAGGATTCGAACCCAGAGCGCGAATGACTAACCTATTAAAAATATATCTCTACATATATATATATATATATATATATATATATATATATATATATATACAGCATCATGTTACGAATATTCATACTGAACAGTACTAGATACCACAATTACAAAACATGCATCCGTACAAAGCAAACTTCAGACAAATAAAATCGCTCAAATTATCATTCTTTACAATACAATGATGATTCATAGTAGCATTTACAACAACGAAATAAAAAAGAGAGGAGAAAATTAATCAACATAATAACCGTTAATAGACTTTGTGGTATTTATTAGATAAATGATGAATAATAAGATTAATAATAACACCTTTATGAATAATATTCTATCAATTTATATAAATTAAAGTAGTTAGATAGATAGATAGAGAGATGGGGTAAGAGAATATTTGTTACGGATTGTTCACTAGACTACTATTACTACTACTATGGTGCGCGCTACTTATAAGTAGTATATGACGCGATAGATAGAAGCGCGTAAATGCTAGTCAACTGCAGAGATGGTTTCAAGATTATCAAGTGTATGAGTCATGAAAAGCACCAAAGATGACAACGGTACGGCAACTAGAAGGACTACGACGATAGCTTATTAAAATGGGGGACGAGTGTGGCGCGCTCTACTTATAAGTAGTATATGACGCGAGTAAAAAAACGTAATGTCTGGCAGCAGAAGATGGGGGAAGATCAAGAAAGGAAGAAGAGTGGGAACACAATTTTAGGAAACGCATGAATAAGTGAAATGTCAGACAATGGATTGATGATGGATTGAAGATTTACAAATTTCACCGTTTACGATATGGTTTTCCTATTTTACTGAGTAACTCTGTAATTTTCGTTAAATACAATTCGGTTGCCCTCATATGTGTTCTCCTTCACTACACTACTACTACTACTACTTACTGACTAAATTATATAAGAACAAGAAGCATTGGATAGTAAACTTTGATTTTCAAATAGTATCAAACTCCCTCCTTACAAGTATGTATGTGCCTCTATGACTCTAATGTAGATTGGATTCAAGAAATTTTAACTTATGGATCAGCAGTGTTAATAACCTTTTAGTCAGTCAGATGCAACGTAGAACTAACTTCGTACGGAAGTACATCAGTTCATATTGCCATACCACATTAGCACAGACAGAGATGTAATTGTCAATTCAAATCCAATAGTAGTAGAGGTAGTAAAGGTATTAAAAGTAATGAGGAGAGATTAGGATTAAGAGATATTATTCAAGAAATATGATTCACTGAGAAAGTCAAAACTAGAGAGGTTGAAGAATCCATAAGATTAGGATTTAAGAGAGAACACAAAGAATAAATGTTAATAATCTTTAGACCAATAAGTTGGTATTTTCTGGTTTTACACTGTTGACTTTCAATCAACAAGTCATGTATATATCTAGAATGAGGAAAATAGGCATAAAAAGCTATCTCAACTAAGTGGCTAGCTAGGTACAGTCACACTTAAAATATGACAACAGTTCATGAAGTTTATTGACCATTTGACTGAGCCATGTTAAATAAGCGTGACATTAGTAACCGATGGTTCGAGAGTTTGAACAACACGACTCAGAATCGTCTAGAATGGAATAGGCGCATCTATTCTCTTTTTCTCCACTAAATCCTAATCCTCTGAATTGCTCAAAACGTATTTCCCTGATTAGCATTTTTATGAATCTTTCTCATTACTACTAATACTGTTACTATCTCCACTATACCCTAGAATTTGTTTGAACTGACAATTTCACTTCTGTACTAATGGAACACGATAACTTTAATTGATCTATGTACGTATCAAGTTTTACTTTGTAACTGATTATTACTTTCGCAGATTATACAAAATGACATCGGCACCTGAACTAATGATAGCGAGTGAAGTAGTCGAACGTGTAGATCGCTTCACTCATCTGGGGAATCTCATCAGTGCCGATGGCCTGGTGACGTCTCAGTGCTGATGTGGTATGGCGACATGAACTGATGTACTTACGTACGAAGTTAGTTCTACGTTGCATCTGACTGACTGACTGACTGACTTTCAATCAACATGTCATGTATATATCATGAATGAGGAAGAAAGGCGTAAAAAGTTATCTCAACTAAGTGACTAGCTAGGTACAGTCACACTTAAAACATGACAACAGTTCATGAAGTTTATTGACCATTTGACTGAGCCATGTTAAATAAGCGTGACATTAGTAACCGATGGTTCGAGAGTTTGAACAACACGACTCAGAATCGTCTAGAATGGAATAGGCGCATCTATTCTCTTTTTCTCCACTAAATCCTAATCCTCTGAATTGCTCAAAACGTATTTCCCTGATTAGCATTTTTATGAATCTTTCTCATTACTACTAATACTGTTACTATCTCCACTATACCCTAGAATTTGTTTGAACTGACAATTTCACTTCTGTACTAATGGAACACGATAACTTTAATTGATCTATGTACGTATCAAGTTTTACTTTGTAACTGATTATTACTTTCGCAGATTATACAAAATGACATCGGCACCTGAACTAATGATAGCGAGTGAAGTAGTCGAACGTGTAGATCGCTTCACTCATCTGGGGAATCTCATCAGTGCCGATGGCCTGGTGACGTCTCAGTGCTGATGTGGTATGGCGACATGAACTGATGTACTTACGTACGAAGTTAGTTCTACGTTGCATCTGACTGACTGACTGACTGACTTTCAATCAACATGTCATGTATATATCATGAATGAGGAAGAAAGGCGTAAAAAGTTATCTCAACTAAGTGACTAGCTAGGTACAGTCACACTTAAAATATGACAACAGTTCATGAAGTTTATTGACCATTTGACTGAGCCATGTTAAATAAGCGTGACATTAGTAACCGATGGTTCGAGAGTTTGAACAACACGACTCAGAATCGTCTAGAATGGAATAGGCGCATCTATTCTCTTTTTCTCCACTAAATCCTAATCCTCTGAATTGCTCAAAACGTATTTCCCTGATTAGCATTTTTATGAATCTTTCTCATTACTACTAATACTGTTACTATCTCCACTATACCCTAGAATTTGTTTGAACTGACAATTTCACTTCTGTACTAATGGAACACGATAACTTTAATTGATCTATGTACGTATCAAGTTTTACTTTGTAACTGATTATTACTTTCGCAGATTATACAAAATGACATCGGCACCTGAACTAATGATAGCGAGTGAAGTAGTCGAACGTGTAGATCGCTTCACTCATCTGGGGAATCTCATCAGTGCCGATGGCCTGGTGACGTCTCAGTGCTGATGTGGTATGGCGACATGAACTGATGTACTTACGTACGAAGTTAGTTCTACGTTGCATCTGACTGACTGACTGACTGACTTTCAATCAACATGTCATGTATATATCATGAATGAGGAAGAAAGGCGTAAAAAGTTATCTCAACTAAGTGACTAGCTAGGTACAGTCACACTTAAAACATGACAACAGTTCATGAAGTTTATTGACCATTTGACTGAGCCATGTTAAATAAGCGTGACATTAGTAACCGATGGTTCGAGAGTTTGAACAACACGACTCAGAATCGTCTAGAATGGAATAGGCGCATCTATTCTCTTTTTCTCCACTAAATCCTAATCCTCTGAATTGCTCAAAACGTATTTCCCTGATTAGCATTTTTATGAATCTTTCTCATTACTACTAATACTGTTACTATCTCCACTATACCCTAGAATTTGTTTGAACTGACAATTTCACTTCTGTACTAATGGAACACGATAACTTTAATTGATCTATGTACGTATCAAGTTTTACTTTGTAACTGATTATTACTTTCGCAGATTATACAAAATGACATCGGCACCTGAACTAATGATAGCGAGTGAAGTAGTCGAACGTGTAGATCGCTTCACTCATCTGGGGAATCTCATCAGTGCCGATGGCCTGGTGACGTCTCAGTGCTGATGTGGTATGGCGACATGAACTGATGTACTTACGTACGAAGTTAGTTCTACGTTGCATCTGACTGACTGACTGACTGACTTTCAATCAACATGTCATGTATATATCATGAATGAGGAAGAAAGGCGTAAAAAGTTATCTCAACTAAGTGACTAGCTAGGTACAGTCACACTTAAAATATGACAACAGTTCATGAAGTTTATTGACCATTTGACTGAGCCATGTTAAATAAGCGTGACATTAGTAACCGATGGTTCGAGAGTTTGAACAACACGACTCAGAATCGTCTAGAATGGAATAGGCGCATCTATTCTCTTTTTCTCCACTAAATCCTAATCCTCTGAATTGCTCAAAACGTATTTCCCTGATTAGCATTTTTATGAATCTTTCTCATTACTACTAATACTGTTACTATCTCCACTATACCCTAGAATTTGTTTGAACTGACAATTTCACTTCTGTACTAATGGAACACGATAACTTTAATTGATCTATGTACGTATCAAGTTTTACTTTGTAACTGATTATTACTTTCGCAGATTATACAAAATGACATCGGCACCTGAACTAATGATAGCGAGTGAAGTAGTCGAACGTGTAGATCGCTTCACTCATCTGGGGAATCTCATCAGTGCCGATGGCCTGGTGACGTCTCAGTGCTGATGTGGTATGGCGACATGAACTGATGTACTTACGTACGAAGTTAGTTCTACGTTGCATCTGACTGACTGACTGACTGACTTTCAATCAACATGTCATGTATATATCATGAATGAGGAAGAAAGGCGTAAAAAGTTATCTCAACTAAGTGACTAGCTAGGTACAGTCACACTTAAAACATGACAACAGTTCATGAAGTTTATTGACCATTTGACTGAGCCATGTTAAATAAGCGTGACAATAGTAACCAATGGTTCGAGAGTTTGAATAACACGACTCAAATCGTCTAGAATGGAATAGGCGCATCCATTCTCTTTTTCTACACTAAATCCTAATCCTCTGAATTGCTCATAACTTATTGCACTGGTTTGCATTTTTATGAATCTTTCTCATTACTACTAATACTGTTACTATCTCCACTATACCCTAGAATTTGTTTGAACTGACAATTTCACTTCTGTACTAATGGAACACGATAACTTTAATTGATCTATGTACGTATCAAGTTTTACTTTGTAACTGATTATTACTTTCGCAGATTATACAAAATGACATCGGCACCTGAACTAATGATAGCGAGTGAAGTAGTCGAACGTGTAGATCGCTTCACTCATCTGGGGAATCTCATCAGTGCCGATGGCCTGGTGACGTCTCAGTGCTGATGTGGTATGGCGACATGAACTGATGTACTTACGTACGAAGTTAGGTTCTACGTTGCATCTGACTGACTGACTGACTGACTTTCAATCAACATGTCATGTATATATCATGAATGAGGAAGAAAGGCGTAAAAAGTTATCTCAACTAAGTGACTAGCTAGGTACAGTCACACTTAAAATATGACAACAGTTCATGAAGTTTATTGACCATTTGACTGAGCCATGTTAAATAAGCGTGACATTAGTAACCGATGGTTCGAGAGTTTGAACAACACGACTCAGAATCGTCTAGAATGGAATAGGCGCATCTATTCTCTTTTTCTCCACTAAATCCTAATCCTCTGAATTGCTCAAAACGTATTTCCCTGATTAGCATTTTTATGAATCTTTCTCATTACTACTAATACTGTTACTATCTCCACTATACCCTAGAATTTGTTTGAACTGACAATTTCACTTCTGTACTAATGGAACACGATAACTTTAATTGATCTATGTACGTATCAAGTTTTACTTTGTAACTGATTATTACTTTCGCAGATTATACAAAATGACATCGGCACCTGAACTAATGATAGCGAGTGAAGTAGTCGAACGTGTAGATCGCTTCACTCATCTGGGGAATCTCATCAGTGCCGATGGCCTGGTGACGTCTCAGTGCTGATGTGGTATGGCGACATGAACTGATGTACTTACGTACGAAGTTAGTTCTACGTTGCATCTGACTGACTGACTGACTGACTTTCAATCAACATGTCATGTATATATCATGAATGAGGAAGAAAGGCGTAAAAAGTTATCTCAACTAAGTGACTAGCTAGGTACAGTCACACTTAAAACATGACAACAGTTCATGAAGTTTATTGACCATTTGACTGAGCCATGTTAAATAAGCGTGACAATAGTAACCAATGGTTCGAGAGTTTGAATAACACGACTCAAATCGTCTAGAATGGAATAGGCGCATCCATTCTCTTTTTCTACACTAAATCCTAATCCTCTGAATTGCTCATAACTTATTGCACTGGTTTGCATTTTTATGAATCTTTCTCATTACTACTAATACTACTACTAGTACCTCCAATATACCATTAGATTTGGCTTAACAATTTTACTTCTATACTAATGGGACAGATTCTACTAGATAGATTCTACTTCTTGAATAATATCTTCTAATCTCAACCTCTCCGATTACTGCTAATACCTTTACTACCTCTACTACTATGGGATTTGAATTGACAATTACATCTCTGTGCTAATGTGGTATGGCAACATGAACTGATGTACGTACGTATGAAGTTCTACGTTGCTATTGATTGATTGAATGGGATACGACAACTTCAACTGATGTATGTACGTATCAAGTTCTACTTTGTAACTGATTAGTACTCTCAGACACTATACAAACTGGAACACAAAATTTACAGATCTACAGAACATTTAGGATGTCTGTAAAAAATAAATATCATTCCCAGGAATATAAACTTTTATTATAGCAAGAATGGAATCAGAGAAAAAATCGATTTTATCCCTTTTGAAATAGTACAAATACTAAAACTAATCAATATTGAATTACAAACAGCACAAAACACACCTGCCTATATTTTACTGTTAGACAGCTTCAGTGGAAGAAAAAAATAGTACCCCAGAACACTAGGTAGTCAGGAACTATAAAGTTCACTTTATAGGAGGTGGAAACTACAGAAAGGAAATCATATCTGTTAAGTCAGGCATTTTAAGCGTTTATTGTCAGATAGTTTTGCTGACATTACAAAAGTGATTTGTGTAAGGAATGTTGGAGTTTTTCAAACCTTAGCGTTTGCGTTTTAAGATGAAAATGAACCTCTGAAGTTAATAGTACTCTAAATTACGTGTTCCCTTCTGAGTCATCTTAAATTTACTTAACGTGATCAACTTCATCATATTAATTCTATCGTCTTGTCGCTTACTACTACTACTATTACAACTACTGGTACTACTCATCGATGAGTTGATTTTATTCAAACATGATATCAATTTTCAGCTAATATACAATAGTGAATTCCAGGCTACGCTGTTTGCTTTACTTAAGAGAAAAAAAAACCCACTTCCTCAGTCATACATATCCCATTACTACTCATGTATAAAAAGAAATATCAGCAACAATTTGAAATGAAGGCGACATGTATGCATTTTTTTCTTACAATATACGTTTTTGTTTAAAATGTATGCACGTTAAAAGCTACAAGTGTTTGAAAGGCCATTTAAATGTTTCGCTTTGTTAACCTGTATACGTGCGTAGGTGTGTATGCGTGTGGCGCTATTTGAAGCCAACCAATCAGAAAAAAAGTAATTCAAATTAAAATGAACCAATGAAAAATAAGCAGACAGCTGACATTACAATCTCATTCAGACAAACAAACAACAAACAGGGCGGTAGTAGTAGTAGTAGTAGCAGTACAATAATAATCGTTTCTTCTTTCTCAAATATATGTTTTGACAAGTTGACTTGACACAAAATTAGGGTATGTGGTCTCTGTCATATATGAACTAGGTAAAAACATCATACTAATAGGTCAAATAACGACTACTACTACTACTACTAGCAGTCAATTGATTAGTTTAGACAATGAAACAAAGAAAAATTAAAAAAAAACCGAAGTAAATAACTAAATGACCGAAAAAAAAGGAGGGAATGAACTTACTTTTACAGCCACTTCTTGTATTATACCATTATCTAAATGTAATCTACCTCGATAAACTTCACCGAATTCACCTTCACCTAATCTATACAATAGAATGACAGCATCGCTAGGAATAAGACGAAGTTCACCAGAACCACTTGTTGATCCAAGACATGCACTACCAGATGCAGTTAATTGTAGACCAGCTGCAACTGGTAGTAGACCACCTCCACTGGATGACATACCAGAAACACCGGAACTTGATGAACTGTTATGATGTTTCGCTTGATTTTTTGATTTTTGTCCATGACGTGAAGCACCTTTCACAACAGTGGATAATGATAATGGTGCACCCATACGACCACCATGTAAACTAGATGAAATAGTTCGTAAAGCCCATGCATCATTACCAAGTGTAGAGGAGGATTCAATTTTACGTAATTCACGACCATGATTATCTAAATTATGCGGCATCAACTGTTCAATGTTAGTAATTCGACCAGATGGAGATATTGCATAATGTAAACGTACAGGTATACCATCAGCGAAACGACTATAATGTTCTACTAAATGTTCTAAGGATAAATGAAGTGGACCCTAAAATAAATAAAAAAGAAAATAGGAGGTAGTTGTGGGGCATCAGTAGCATATATATATAAGCGAATAAAAGTAACCCAGATAAGCTGATGAAAGGTAGTCGTACATAAGGGAATTAACAATTACCTGAGGAAATAAGGCAAGAGAGTGATTCGCTTATCTTTATTGGTAACTAACTCATTAAGAGCATGGGAGTGGCGATGCTTTTTAGCATGAAACATCAAATATTAGTGTAAACGGAACATCGGGATGTGAACAGTTGGAGTGTGGTGCGAACTACTTATAAGTAGTATATGACGTGAGTGTTAACGTAATGTCTGGCAGCAGAAGATGGAAGAAGATCAAGAGAAAGGAAGAGGAGTTAGAACACAATGGAATTTGTATGAAACGCATGAATAGTAGTGACAATGGATTGATGTTTTGCAACAGGAACAGTCCAGTTCGATATGATGAACTGATATTTTGCAAATGAACGATTTACGATATGGTTTTCCTATTTTACTGAGTAACTCTGTAATTTTCGTTAAATACAATCCGGTTGCCCCATCTGTGTTCTCGTTCACTACAGCAGTACTACTGTCCGGAAATTAAGACTTCTGATAGAAGTTGATATGAGGGTGGTTGTCGTCTCCTGGGTAGCTGGCATTGTGAAAGGGTGTTTTTTGAGGAACTTGAGAAGGAAGCCGGGTTAGTGTTGGTTTTATGGACCGTGGAGCGTGACTGCAGAGCCAAAGAGACAATTGCTTCAGGCTAGTCATGTACGACCTTTTTATGGGATATGTTCAACGTGTTAACCCAGCTCTTAAAAAGGCCTTACCACCACAGAACGAAATCCATGGAGTTAGGTGAGGTGTGGCATTTTCGGAGTCGACGTTTTCTAACCCTCCCTTTCGTTGTGCGAAGGCATTATCTCTGCAGATGTAGGTTTTCCAAGGGAAACACCTTACTGATGTCACACCCCTTTACAGTCAACAGTACGACTTCATCCTCAGACTTTCAGTTGTTGCTTTTAGTCTTACTATTCTCCAATCAACCTGTCTGGCATGGTAGGACTTACAGGAACATCTGTTCCAGCCAATATAGCACAGTTGGGTCATCACAATAGGCAGTCCCGACCATTACGTCAAGACAACAGCTAAGGTTTGGCTTCTGATGGAAATTTTCATTGAAACAACTAGTCCAAAAGATGGAGAAACATTTACAGGTATATTCCCGTGGAAGTCAGTAAAAACCACTGGGCTACATTGTAACAATAGAACAAGAAAAAAAAACTGTTTATTCACATAGGCAACCTCAAAAACAAACTGTTTACTTACTTTATCAATAAAATAAGCTTCTTTTGTATCTAAATGAAATGAAAAATCCACTACTTCAATTTGATATTTTAATGTTTGATGTTGATAATATAAAACAAGTACAAATTTTCTCTCCGATTGTGATGATCGTCGAATTAAAAATGCACCATCTTTAATAGTTGAACAATTGGAAAATATTTTATCTGTTTCTAGCTTTGACAATGAAGGATGATACCAATCACTCTGAGGGAAAAAAAAATCAAAGATAGAAGAGAGTGGAGAACTAGAAGAAAACGTGTTTAGTAAAATGGTGATGAATTTTTTGTAAAAACAAACTCTTGTTTCACTTTTGTCATGTGATGTGCTACAAGCTAAACGTTCGGTTAGCAAGTGAAGAGTTAGTGTCATGCGTAGTGTTAGTAATTTACGATTGTGTCTCAAATGCTGTTATTAGATGTATGACAGTAGTTATTACTTTTTAAATCGTTTACACTGTGGAAAGATAATTTTTCTTGAGGTATTGAACAGGAAACTGGTTTTATGGGCTATTTGAATGATCAAAGAGTCTCACCTGCAGCGCTCAAAGGACGACTGCTTAAGGCTGGTCACAAACAGCCTTCCTGTAATTAATTTAGGATGTGTTAGTTCCGTACTTTCAAAGCCTTAGCACTCGAAGACGAAAATCTGTACAGGGAAGGTAAGGTGTGTTATTGGTATGATTAGATTTTCTAGTCCGTGAGAAGTCAGTATCTCCACAGGTACTGATTTACTGAGGAGAACATCTTACTTCCATCACACTCCGACAGTCGATGGTGCTTCAAGCCTAGCAGTACGGGGTTTGGTGCCTTTATTCTTGCCATTACTCTCTTACTGACCTGCCTGGAATGAGAGAAATTAAAGGAAACAGGATATCTCAGCCGATAAACCTCGATTAGGTCAGGCAGGTTATGTCAAGCAGTCAGTCAGTTACAACGTAGAACTGCGTACGCACGTACATCAGTTCAAGCTGCCTTACCACATTAGCATGTATAGGCAATTGTCAATTCAAATCCCATAGTGGTAGAGGTAGTAAAAGTAGTAGTGGTAATCAAAAAGATTAGGGATTGAGGATAATATTCAAGGAGTATAGTCCAGTAAAGTAAACTTAAAAAGAGAAAGATAAAGGTGATGAGGAATTCAGAAGACTAAAATCTGAGAGAAGCCAAATAATGGAGGTACATCTGCCATTGTAAACGATTTTGTGCCACCTCATTTAAAGTCTCTAACCATCGATTACTATCATCTCGCGGACCGCAACCAGTTAGTCTACACTTGCCAACATGACTAAATCCAGTTGTCAGTCAGTTCATAGTTTTCTGCCATGTTTTGGTTTGGCCGCTCCTAGCTTTCTTCCAACTTACACCTACAGTCCATGGTTGAACATTCGTAACACATGTCCCAACCAACACGAATGTAAGAAGTGGACAGCCCTGACGGACACCACCGACCTGCCTGTGTTGGAGGTATATATATATATATAGACTGGTAACAGGATAGATATCATCTATGAAACTTCCACTAATAATACTATAGATGACGTACTATGCAACAGTACATTGTTAGTTGATTAGAAAGAAGACGAAAACCGCAACCACTTACTTACCAACTCTAGGCTAGACAGGTATATTAATTAGTTCGCATTGATGACTAGACATACACACGCACACACATATGGGGTATTGAAAGTTTAACACAGATAAATACATATATTATTACAGTTTGAAAATAGTTTCTTTTCTTTCGATTGTATATTTATTTGTCTGAAAGATCATGATTAATTCAATAATTTTAGTTTTACCGATTATTCAAAGGAGAAATCGTAATTGTATGTGTGTGTATATATACACATATATATAGACTGTAATATTATCTCATCGGCTTTTTTTATTTGTAAATATTCAATAAACATACTACTGCTACTACTACTACTACTACTGTGGTGCGCGCTACTTATAAGTAGTATATGACGTGAGTGAAAACGTAATGTCTGGCAGCAGAAGATGAGGGAAGATCAAGAAATTAAGAAGAGTGGGAACACAATGGAATTTATTAGGAAACGCATGAATAAGTGAAATGTCAGACAACGGATTGATGATGAATTGAAGATTTGCAAATTTCACCGTTAACGATATGGTTTTCCTATTTTACTGAGTAACTCAGTAATTTTCATTAAATACAATTCGGTTGCCTTCACACCTATGTTCTCCTTCACTACACTACTACTAATAACATCAATCATATAACAGAAACAGAAATAGAAAACTGGTATCCTAACATTCATGTTATCATGGATTTTGCCGATTTAATTAATCGGTCGGTTATTATTCATTTTTTCTAAAGAAAAATGTTGATATATGTAATATATTTCATATACTGTACATACAGACATGTAGGTGTCTGTTGAAAAACTACCCACATATATACCAATGAAATATGATTGTATTTTATTATATAATAATGAATTAATCAAATATTCATTGATGATGAAATTTGACCTCAATTAGTCAGTCAGTCGGTCAGTTAGTCGGTAAAGTCAAATTCATCACAAACACAAAATGGGACTTAACATGATTATAGGTGTGTTTGTATCAGTTGAAAGTTGAAATCAGGAAGAAGCGGTGGAAGTGGATAGGACACACACACACACTATGAAAAGCACCTAACTGAGTCACAAGATAAGCCCTCACATGGAACCCTCAAGGTAAAAGAAAAATTTGAAGGCCAAGGAAAACATTACGCCGAGAAATAGAGAAAGATATGAGAGGAATGAACAAACATTGGACAGAATTAGAGAGGGAAGCCCAGGACAGAGTTGATTGGGGAAAACTGGTGGGCTGCCTATACTCCATTGGGGGTAACAGGCGTAAGTAAGTAAGTAAGTAATCAGCTGAAAGTTGCCAGAAAGAAAGCAAGAAAAAATTTACATTAATACAGACAAGAGAGAGGGAAAATTCACCAATATTTTTTTTATTGTTAATCTACTCAGATGATAGTGAACTTTGTTGATTAGCGGTAAGCAAGCAAGCAATCAATCAAAATTCTCTTCTTTATTTTCTCTGCCATACTATTATTCCACTACAGAATATTCACATCCATGCAGATTAAGGAAAGAGTAGGAGGAAATGTCAAAAACTGTTGATCGTACGTCTTCTCACTAGAACTCCGAGAATTTCCTCAGGAAGCTAGTCACTAGTGATATTTTCAGTTAGAGCTTTGGAGATTTGTGTTTTTTACACATTTGAAATCATCAGTCAGTCAGTCAATCAGTTGCAACGTAGAACTTCGTACGTATGTACATAAGTTCAGGTTGCCATACCACATTATTATTATCATCAATCAATCATCGTTAGACCACCGTTAGAAACCTGGAAGACAAATGGGTGAGGTCGCGCAAAATCCCTAAATTAATCAGAGTTAGACATCAACACCGTTGGATGCCGACCCAGTGGTCCAATGGTTAGGCGTTCGCCCACAATACCGAAGGTCTCGGGTTCGAATCCTGAGAGGTGCAGGAGTCGTGGATGAGCACTGCTACTGATGAGTCCCATACCAGTTTGATCTTAATTGATTAGGAACACAATGATCTCTAAGGTAATTTCTTTTAACCACCTATGATATAGTGTGCAAATGCAAGTTATTTTACTAGACCACTGGTCATATCATTTGGATGCTTGTGGTAGTAAGTGATTTCCATGAGTAATCAATACTCATTCTCATAATATCATCGTGCTGATCGGTTGATGAGTAGATTAGTTACTGACTTGAACAAACGATAATTATAGCTCCTTAAAAACCTCCAGAACAAGTGTCTTTTAAATGCTGAGATCAAAGACAGTATTAGTTTACCTACGGTTAAACATGTAACTTTGGCCAGTTAGTAGTTATAAACAACGTGAAATCTGGCAAAAATGCACATAAATCAGTAGTTCTCAAAATATTATCAGTCCATGAAAAAGAAACCAATCTCGTATTGATTAGCACTAGAATGAACTAGGAAATTACTTTTAGCTTTATTTCCTAAATGTCTGTTAATTAAATGTGATTTGAGAATTCACCTGCTCTTATGGAGCATATTACATAGACCACACAAGGAGAGTGTTTCCCGGCGTGGCTTTCTGGAGTGGAATGTAAGTCTATAATATCATAATATTAGAGTATCT